AAGAATTTTTTAATTAAAAATTTAAATTCAAAAAAAGGGGGAGAAAAGGGAGAAATTAATTAAAGTAGCTAGCTAGACATTTGCCGGATTTAATTGGAAAGTTTTGAGTGTTAAAAGGAAGAGGAGAGAGGTGGTGAATGGAAAAAAGAGAAGAAGACAGCCACAATTTATTAAAATAATTTTAAAAATTTAAATAAATTTTAAGTAAAATTTTTAAAGAATTTTAAAACTTCTTTCAAAAAATGAGAGAAGAAGAAAATAATTCTAAAAACTTTAATTTAAGACTTTTGAAGGATTGACAAAAAGAACTTTTTAAATTGATTTAAAAAAATTAATTTATTTAAAATTTTAAAGAAAGTTTTTAGAAATATTGAAAAAGAGGAAGAGGGGGGGAGGGTGAGGAGAAAAGAAGGATTTTGTAGAGAGAAGGAAGGGGAAAAAGAATATATTATATGTACATTTACCGAAATATAACCATCACCGCCACAGTCTTCATCTCCTTTCCCTCCCTCCTCCTCCTCTCTCTCTCTTTTTCCCCCCAACAACCCTTAAAATCTTTATTATTTTCCAAAAGGTGAACAAATAATAAATATGTATAAGCAAAACGAAGTAGAGAGGTAAAAAAAAGAGAAAGAAAATCCGCCCATTTTCTAGTTTTTAGAGGTTCGATTGCGGTGAATGAATGAGAGAGAGGGAAAGAAATGAAAAACCTTCACCGGAATATTCGAATCTGCTGAGTGCTAAAGTAAAAGAAGGGAAAAAATTAAAAATAAATTTTGGGGGGATTTAAATTTAAAATTAATTTATTATTTTGTAAAATTTAAATTTTTGTCTTTATTTTCATTAGAAATCAGGTTCGGAGTATATTGGTAACTTTAATTTAAGACTTGTTTCCATCTTTATATTGGAGGTATATTTACTTTCAAGGGTTTTTTAAATTTAATTAAATTAAAATAAATAAATTATTCAACTCTATTTTTATATTTTTAATGGAAAAAGCTAGAAAATAAATTAAGAAAAAAAGATATATGTATATATTTAAAGTATTTATATCGTTTCAAATTTCAATTTTTTGTTAAAATAAAAAGAAAAAAATATTTTGAAAGAAAATTTTTGTTTTTTTAATTTAAAATAAAATAAATAAATATTTTTTAGTTAATTTAAATTTTCTTTTCCACTTTTTTGGGTCATAATAATTGAAATAAAATTAAAAAAACATTTTTGCTTTAGGCAAAATATTTTTTATTTTCTTTCTTCCGGGGATAAATAATAATAACACTTGAGGGGTTTTTTGTTTTTGGGTTTTTGTAAATGAGGGAAAAACATATTTTTGTGTGTAATTCTTTTAATTAATTTATAAATATTTTGTCTGAAAAATTAAAAGAAAATTAATAAAAACAAAAGGTATTTACTCGTTAATTACCCTCTCTCAAATAATTACTCCCCTCCCCTTTCCCCTAATCAAATAAATATATTGTCTAGATTTTTGATAAAATAATTCCACACAAGAATTACACACAAAAAATATACCCTAAAAGCTCTAATAGAAGCAATGTGCTTCTATTTCTCGATCCTCTCGTTTGTGCTTCAATTATAGTAATATTTAATCGTAGGATTTGGTGATTAAGAGGTGGATAAAAGGGGTATCAGAGAATTTGATTCTCATTAAACAAAGTTTCTCGAAAGGAGGGCTCTGGATCCGGTTGGTGTTTAAAACGGTTCTGGAGTGGTGTTTAAAGACGTTCACTTCACTATTCCAGTAAAACACCCAGAGTTATGGCAAACACGCACAATACTGACCATTGGTTCTTATCTCCATCCATGAGTTTGTAACTTATAAGTTTGGCCATTTTTCCACTTTTTGGAAAGAAAAAAAGGAGTATATGAAGTTGAATTTTATCGATAATTCTTTTATTTTTTATTTAAAAATAAAAATTTTTTTAAAAACAAAATTAAAAAAATTTAAAATCATTTATAAAGACAAACAACATAATTTTTCTCAAATTAGAAATCGAATATTTTTTAAAGATTTTTTAATTAAAAATATTTTTAAATAAAAATCTTTATTTTATTTTTTAATCTTTGCTTTTCTTTCTTTCATTTCTTATGTATTTTAAATTAAAATATATTCATTCATTGACCACTTGAAAATTTAATTTTAATATTTTTTTAAAAATTTTTGAAGAAATTTCCCTTTTTTAAAATAAATTATTTTTAAAATAATTATTTATTTTTTGGCAAAAAAATCCAGGAAAACTTTTCTTTAATTTTATTTTTTGTTTCGTTCCGCATGAGATTATAAATTTTCTTAAAACTTTTTTAAAGGAAGAAGCAAAAAATAAATATTTAATTTTTTTAGTTTAAATTGTTTGCGCCATTCTCTCTCTCCCCTCTAACTTTTTTTGTTGTCCAACAAAATACTTTTTAAATAGTAAATGGCCTTCCCATAAAAATAATGAAATTTTTTGTATTAAATTAATAAAAAAACTTCTTTTTTTCTGGATCGGAAATTGTAAAAAAATATTTAAAATATAAATATTTGGTATCGAAAATATTTTTTAGAGTTTTGGGAATAAAATTAAAAAAAGAATTATCAATTTTCATTGATCTTAAAGAAAGTTATGACAAAAACAAAAGCGGCGGAAAAGTTGCTGCACCCTTATTTATTTTTTTAATTAAAACAAAATCAAAATTAATTTTTTTTTAATTTTCAAGCACAAAGTAGCCAACATAGTGAAAAGGCTCGCTTTATTGAGCTAATTTTGAACAACACCATCAACCGCAGCCGAAAAGCTGCAATTATTAGGCAGTTAAAACGATATGAATTCAAACCAGATCCTGTCAAGCGGTGGAAGGATGAGCAAAAACGTAAGGAATTAGAAATGTGTGGGGAAGCGAATCTTCTGAAGATGAGGAAGAGGGGATTAATCTATTTTTATATTAACACCTCTTCCTCATCATGATTAATTTACTTTTAGGAAGAAATTGATGCCTACAATTATTTAGTTGGAATGGCTTTAATTGATTTAAATAATAATAACAGAGGCAAATTGGCTGATGAAAGTAAAGCAAAAAAGAAGGAATTGAATATTTTGAAAGGAAAGGAATGGTTTGATTTATACGAGGAAGACTTGAAAACATTTTTGGATGCTTTAGATGCAAGGTTGGGTATTTAACAAAATATTTTTCTTAAATTCCCTTGAATTTAAAAATCTTAAATTCCCTGTCAATATATTTGATGTAATTTTCCTTTTTTTAATTTTAGGAAGAGAAGGAAAGATTCTGATTTTATTGTAAAGAAGAATGAGAAGCGTCGACAAATAATTGACAACGATGATGAACCTGAAGTAGTTGTTAAGAAGAAGAAAGAAAAATAATTTTGACGGGGTTTAGTAAATAAAATTTTAAATAAATTGACTTTTTTCATTTTTGTTTTTGTTGGTGGCGCACTCTTTTGTGGTGCTACATAGAAAAACTTTTTTTCTGAGTCTGAAACTTTATGCATTTTGAACCATCTTCTTTTACCTTTCGACTATGAAGATTGCCTAAATCTTACTTGCCGTAAAACAATTCTTCCCTGCCCTATTAAATAAATCTCAATATACACCGCTCCACAAAAGTATAGCGCCACCCCTATTTTTTTCGGTTTCAATACTGTAACCGTTGTTTTTATTTTTAGACTTTTTTTGTAATAATAAATAGTGGTCTAAAATTAGGTTTGTAAAAAATTTTGTTTTTAAATCAAGTTTTTCTGTTGTTATAGGCAAATCCCCAGTTTTAGTGTTCCACAAAAGTATAGCGCCACCTTGAAATTTCGGGTTTCTAACATTAAGAAAATTCTACAAAAATTTGAGTTAACATAATGATCGATTCTAAGAAAAAATCAAAAAGAATTAGACCCATATCTCACTTCAGTGTTGAGATCCAGATACCTCGAAAATCAACGTAAATCGGGGGTAAGGCTATTTAAAAAATAATTTCGACCCCTTAGGGTTTGTTTTAAATTTTCAATTTGGGCTCATTCGAAAGCCCTTGAAATTTGCTACAAGATAGCATAAGTTTAATTTTCCAGAAAAATTATTTCAGTAAGTTCTTAGGCTTAAAATTTCTAAGGCACAAAAAACGCCGTAATGCCCCATAAAATTAGCACCGTGAGATTAACGTCATGCATATCTCTATTGAATTTTTTCTTAGATATATGAGTATTGCTATCTTGTAGCAAATTTCAAGGGCTTTCGAATGAGCCCAAATTGAAAATTTAAAACAAACCCTAAGTGGTCGAAATTATTTTTTAAATAGCCTTACCCCCGATTTACGTTGATTTTCGAGGTATCTGGATCTCAACACTGAAGTGAGATATGGGTCTAATTCTTTTTGATTTTTTCTTAGAATCGATCATTATGTTAACTCAAATTTTTGTAGAATTTTCTTAATGTTAGAAACCCGAAATTTCAAGGTGGCGCTATACTTTTGTGGAACCCTAAAACTGGGAATTTGCCTATAACAATAGAAAAACTTGATTTAAAAACAAAATTTTTTTACAAACCTAATTTTAGACCACTATTTATTATTACAAAAAAGTCTAAAAATAAAAACAACGGTTACAGTATTGAAACCGAGAAAAATAGGGGTGGCGCTATACTTTTGTGGAGCAGTGTATGTATCTGATGTGATTTTCCTTTTCAGTCATTTCGTATTTAATTTTTGTTTCGTTTCATTTGTTTGAAGAAAATCTGAATGACAGATTCAGATCAGTCCAATTATAAAAAAGATGCCGCATCTTGAAGTCTTCGAGTGATACAAAAATTATTTCAGATCGAACAAAAAATTTTAACAGTACTCTGGATAGGTTAACTCTGAATCGACCTACAATTTAGAAAGCCTTTTTATTGCCATAATTTTTGTTTTATTGGTTTTGTTTAGTTTTTACTGCAATATTTCCCTAGATTTTTTATTTTTTAAAGATTTATTTCAAATTTCTGTATTCATTTTCTTCTAAAATGAGCAAAAGCAAAAATGACAAAAAACAAAATATTTCTTCAGATTCTGATAATGAGGAGTTGGCATTAAATGTTTTTTTAAATTTAATTTTTGTTTAATCTCATTTTTTAGGATGATGAATTTGACCTTTCAATGGATGAGGATGAACGTGAACGTTTTAATCAAATGTCTGAAAAAGAACGAGAAATTGAAATCTTTAAACGGCTCGAACAACGCGAACTTATGAAAACGAGGTTTTAATTAATTTATATAACTTATAAATTTTTAAAGGGAGCAAATAAAGCGTAAGCTCGAAATGGCTGCAGGAAAAAATGAAACAAACATTGTAAAAAGGAAGCGACGTTTATCCCGTGACACTGATGATAGCGATAATGAAAAGAACGGAGATAAAAAAAGTTCTGATGAAGAAGGGGAATTGCCTGCTGAAGATAAAGGTTTAAATTAAAAAGAATAAATTTTTTTAATTTTAAAATTTGTGTAGATGAGACTAGTAGTGATGATGATAATATAGTAAATAGCAAGCCTAGTTCTTCAGTAGAAAAACATAAGCATAAATCAATTACAAAAATGTCAGTCAGCACAGCAGATATAGAAGATGAAGACACGGCCTACCACAAACCTTCAGAATTGGCAAATAAATACAATAAGAAAATGGCAATGGCTGATCTACTCAATAAACGGCGGGATAAAAAACAAGGTTTTTTCGGGACAGATCTTTGACTTTTTCCTTAATTTTCTTTTTTAGCTGAAGAAAAACGTAAAAAGGAAAATCAAAAAGCAGCTTTGGATCTCGACGAAATTTTTGGAAAAGAAGATGGAAAATCTAGTAGTTCTAGTTCTCCTGCTTCTTCGCGTTCGTCTAGCCCTGTATATGGAAAGTCACGATCTCCTTCTCCAGTCGCCCAGCCTGTATATTTCATTCTAATTTTATCAACCTTTGCTTTTTCCGACTTTTAGATCGAAAAAATGGATGATCTTTTAAAATGCCAAGCAATTCGTCGACGGATAGCCAGGATTGTTCATGCCCCTTTCTTCCACAAAACAATTGTTGGTTGTTTTGTTCGTGTCCAAATTGGCAATCATGAAGGGAAGCCGACTTATCGAGTTTGTTCTCGTTATTTAAAGGTCACAATCTCTTTGTAGATTGCCCAAGTTGTTGATGTTGTTGAGACTGCTAAAGTCTATGAAGTGGAACCCAATACCGACATACGCACTAATAAAGGCTTAAAACTTAAAGTTTTTTTAAAAATTTTTTTTAAATTTTTAATATTAAATTTTTTAGATTTGCAATAACGATGCTCAACGTGTCATTCGCCTCGAATTTGTTTCGAATAGTAATTTTACAGAAACTGAATATTCATTTTGGTTAAACAGAATGAAAGAAACAGTTAATAATATTTTTATAGTAAAAAATTTTTGTTTTTTTATTTTCAGGAAACTTCACTTCCAACAATTGATTTTGTTAAGAAAAAACAAAAAGAAATGCACGATGCGTTAAACTACAAATTTACTGATTCTGAAATTAATTTAATGGTGCGAGAGAAGAGTCGTTTCAAAAAACAACCAACGAATTTTGCTTTTGAGAAGTCGGAGTTGATTAAACAAAAGGTTGGTTCATATTTTATAATAATTGTATGTATAGGAATGGTAATAAGGCGGGGAAAAAGTAAAGTTTCACCTCTGTATCCCAGACGATAGAGCAACTGCAAATGTGTAAGCGAATTCTAGCAAGTCTCTTCCGCAGAGAGATCTCTCATTTTTCTCTCATTACATTCCTCCCGGCGATTAAACTTACAATTAATTAACTCTCTCTAGTAAGATTTACACCCTAATTTCCTCCAAAATAAAATTTTAAATATTTTTAATTTAAAAATGCAAGCACAAAAATATTTTAAGTAAAAGTCGGTTATATCCAACCTTTTTCCTTTCTCACGGTAATTTCATTTAACCATCAACCAAAAATAGACATAAACCAAACTTTTACTTAAATATTTATTAAGTAGAATTTAAATGTTTTAAAAATCATTTTGAACTTTTTATCATTCTTTTTCTCTTCTTTAAACGGCCACGTGTTCTTCATTTCCATTTTTTGGTTCATATCTTTTTTCCATTTCTTGTGCGGGTGCTGGTGGCACGCGGTGTACATAGGGGCTGTCTGCTGGTTGAGGAAAAATATCTTGGCCCACCCATTGCATATATTTTATAAATGTTTCGACAGCATAAATTACACAAAGAGCAAAACAAAAAATCTGAAAAAAAAATAATTTGAATTAAAAAAATTATTTTTTTATATTTACTGCTCCCATTATTGCTGCCCCTCGACTATCTGAAAGACTTCCCCATGCCAAATGTATCATTAACCAAATAGCGATAAAAAAGAGTAAAGTATTTAAACCATAAAATATAAGTTCCTTAAAAAATTTGAGAAATTTTTTAAAATTTCTTTTCTCTCCACTAACCACAACAACAAGTCCTTCTCTGTTACGTTCATCAGATAAAGATAAATGAGGGAAAACTACATAAAGAAGAATTAATATGCAAACAACAATTGTTGTTTCAAAAGTTATGTGAGCAGTCCATGCTGATGCAGTTGAACGACGATCAGCACAAATAGCCAAAATAAAGGCAACAAACCCTACTAACTGAAAATTTAAAAAGGAAGGGAATTTTAAACAAAAAAGACAAATTCAACCAATTCTGCCAATTTGAGAACTCCAGGCAAAGTAACCAAATAACGAGTATTTAATTGCTGCTTTCGGCCATCAGGAATAAGTCTAACTTTGGCAGCTTGCATTCGATTAAACGGTTTTGAACCAGCGGCAGTCGAAGTATTTGGAGTGGCCATTTTGATAGTTTGTTGGGGGGTAATTGTTGTTGTAAATGATGGAGGAACTTCTACTGTTTCAGCAATATTTTCTTTGTTATTTTTTGTTGTGGTTATAGTTTTTTCAATAACAATTGGGGTCGTTGGAAGTGTGCTGACAGGTTGTTGTTGATGTACTTGCAGTGACCTAATCGATTTTTTGCGGGAATGAGAAAGAATTACTTTTTTATTTAAAAAAATGTGAATTAGAGATGGGTAATTTAACTTTTTTTTATTTTATAAACAACTAACTCGTCTATTTCTGCTTGAGTTGTAGTATTATTGGTAGAAGTTTTTGTATTTGTTGTTGTTGGTGGTGGTGGTGATGATGATTGCGTTTCCGTCTCTTTTAGATCAATTTCTCCATTAGTTTCTTTTAACATTATTTTTTAAAATTCTTTAAATTCTTTTTTTAATTAAGTGTAAAAATATAAAATATTTTTGGATGAATTTGAAAAATGTTTGGATGAAAATATAGTGTGTTTTATAACGGGGGACGTCCATTGCTTATATTTATCCTAGCCATGCGAGGAATGATGCGCGAACTTTGAAAAATGTTGCGAATTAAAAAATATGTTTTTAGTTTATATTATTTGCTTGTAAAAAATATATAAAAATATTGTTGATTAGCGAATGGCCTTGATGCGCGGTGTTATTTTCAGTTTATTTGTGATTGATTTCAAATCGATTTAATCATAAACTTTAAGTGGAAAAATAAAAATATCCTTTCAAAAATATTTGTCTTATTTATAATTTTTGTCTATTTTTAAAATTAAAATCTGTTAATTTTTTGGAACTAAAAAATTACAAATATTTTTAAAGGTGTTTCATTTCCCTTTCCTAACTGTCCAGCCAGCCGGTTTCTAACCTCTATCCATTCTTGGCTTTTTGTTTAGAAAATATATATTTACGATTATAATACTGATGATTTTCGCAGTGCGAATGGTGTTTGTTTGTTTAAGTATTTGTTTTAGTGTAACTATTGAAAAAAGCGGTTTTTAGTTGCTTTTATTCTTTTCCTCATTTTCTTGGCAGTACAAGTAAAAAAAATATTTAAAAGAAAAGTTGGGAGAGATGATTGGAATAAGTTAAATAAAATTATATGCCTTATTCATTCAATCATTACTAATGAAAGTAACGGTTGAAGAAAGAAATATATTTATTTAAGCTACCGGGGGAGGAGGGGGAAGGAAATAAAAATTTAAAAAGAAAAATACAAATGCTATTTAAAAATATATTGAACAGTTTTATTAAATTGTGAAGATATTTTTGTTATTCTTTGTTCTTTCCCCTAATAAAAAATGAAAAAAATGCGACTTAGAATTGAGAGGAAAAAATGAATAGAAAAGATTATAATCTTGTCATTATGTAATCCTTTCTTACATATATCCGTTGGAAATTGGGTTATCTTTAAAAGGTGTCAACGGAAGTGTAAATTCTTTTTTAATATTATTTTATACAAACATGTTGGGGATGGGCTTTGCCGCATTTTAAAAGCGGAATAAAAAATGTACAGCAGACAGAATGAGGAAACGTTAGGCTTAAAAGAGGCGGAATTCTGCGGAGTCTGGAGAGTTACACTGTTTTATTAAAATTTGACAATAAAACATAATTTATATATGAGATATACAACAATTAGAAAAAGAAATTTTATTTTGAAAATTTCCAAAAATAACTTTTCTTAAATTTTCAAGGAAGATGCAGAACAAAACGGAAATAAAGAAAAAGTACGAGATCTCCAACACCAGATTAACGATTTGGAGGAAAAGGCAAAGAAAATTGTAAGAAATAACAATAGAATTTGCCCAATGATTTAATTATAATTTGGAATTTTTTCAGGAAAATCAGCGAACAAAAAATTTAAGTGCAGTTACTGCAATAAACCAACGGAACCGAGACCATATGAAACAAATTTTCCTCAGTGCAGAACACATGCAAAATAATGAACATTTTCGTGTAAGAGATGATGATCCTTTCACAAGAAAATCTGCTCGTATGAAATTAGTAACTGGTGTGGCAAGAACAAAAACAGATGGAGAAGGTGATTTTTTTGTTTTTTTAAAATTTTAATGAAAATTTAAGGTCTTGATGTTACTACTGGCTCTATGAGTACGGATTCATCCTTTTCGGGTTCCCCTTCCATATTAAATAAAAGCAGTAGTGCTGTACTTCCACCCCCTGGTGATTTATTTAGTGCTCATGGAATTGATATAAATATTGACTTGGACAAAGTATTGCCAGGTTTGTTCTTTTCTTTTATAAAAAATGTTTGAAAATTTATTCTTCGACAGTAACAAGTGGAATCTCTCTTCGTGCCCCACCAATTGCTTCTGTGTCATCAACAGGTTCTCAATATCCACAGCGAGCACCTCAAAAGTCATCGAGAACTTTAACTCTCGAAGAATATAAAAGAAAATATTCATCACGATTGACCTAACTAATTGAAGGAGATTGTTATATAATATTTGGTTGTAGTAGAAGGGTGAGGGAATTTTATTTTTTTTTATTTTAATCCAAAATGGATACAAATCTCACCCGAACTTAATAATTTCAAACTACATTTTTTTTGTAAAAATTTAAAACATTTCGGGTTAGAGTGAGATTTGAATGCTTTTTTTTACAACTTTTCATTCTTATGAAATAAATATTTCTAACATTTTTCTTTTATTATTTTGGGAAACAAATAATTATAAAAAAAGATTTTTAATATTTTTCGAAATGTTTAAGTTGGTAAAGACGAGTTCTCCCTTCCTTAGTTCCAACTGCGAAGAAAGCACCTTTTGGTGAAAAAGCACAGGTTGTTAACCTCTCCTTCGAAAAGTGTTCTTGTTTTGATGGAAAATTTTGAAAAACTGTCCCGCTAACCAAATGGCCGAGTCTGACTGCCATTTTCTAAAAGATTTTTTAAATATTTTTTAAGAGAAAATAAAATACCTTAACCGTTGAACCCATAGCTAATAATTGGGCATCTTTACTAAATTCAAGCCAAGAAATTGATGTTGTTAACTGATCAAAAGTTGCAAATAATAAAGGACGTTGAGATGAATTTTTCTTTTTATTAAGCCATTTATAGTCATTCATATCATAAACATTAACTATTCCAGTATTTGAACTAATATTTCTTTGTTAATTTTGACAGTTTAAAAAACATACCCGCAAGCCAAAAATTGTCCATTTAAACTAAAAGCCATACAAGTAGCTTTAACACAGCCTTCATCAAAAAATTGCATCATTTCGGAGTATTTTGTTAAATTCCATATATAAACAGTTCCATTTACTACAAAAAATTTTAAAAATTAATTAAACAATTTTTCCTTACCAGCTAAAGCAACAATTTGTTCTCTATTAATTGGTGAAAAACAAAAATCAACAATATTTTCAGCTCCTCTATAAGTATGTAAATGATCCATTGTCTTAAAAATCATTTTTTTTTATTTTAAAATAATTAATTACTTTAAATAAAAACACAAAAATATCAGCATTATTTACTAAATAAGCAATATAATTTCCATCTGCAGAAAGTTGAATCTTTCTTGCTGACGATTTGTCCATAGCTTAAAAAATCAATAAAATTATATTTTAATTTTAATTAAAAACCTTTAGGTTGTTTAATTTGTGTAATTTCACCAATTAAAAGGTCATAAACGTAACAATCATTCTTAAATAAAATGAAAAAGTATTTCAGTCAAACTTCAATTTTTCACACTTTTAAATTTGAATGGCCACATGGTCCCCAACAATAAATACACACGATTTTTCAGCCCCAAGGGAATAAGAAAAATCCTACTGCAATTAAAAATAACCTTACTCGATTATCTGCACTAGCAAATAAAGATCCTCTATCGAAAAACGTAATATTATCAAAAGAAATATTTGGAATTGTAACATCTTGTAAAAAGAAATTACTTTTCCTTAAAAGTAAATTATTAACATCATCACAAATCTTTAAAAAAATTAATTAAAAATTTTATTTTTAAAAATAAACCTGAAAAAGCACTATCCTGCCAGTTGAAAAAGCACTAACCAAAATAGGCATCGAAGGATGAAATTTTAAACAATTTACTTTACCCTAGAAATAAATCAATAAAACATTTTTTAATTTAAAAATTACTTGTTGATGGCCAATAGTGGGGTCTCTAAGAAGAGTAAATTTTAATTCTTTTGCTGGTAAAGATTTTGAACCAATATTAGTGTTACCGGCAAATCTTGCTATTGAATTCAAAGCTGAATCACACTTTTCATCATCTGGAAGCTTAAAGATGCAAAAAAAACTAGAAAATCTTTTAACCTTCAGTTTTAACCCATTTTTGAGCTCCTCGTCCATATATTGAAGATGTTATATATCGCTCACGCAAACGTTTCTGTGTCATCTAAAATCGAAAACATATTTTACTATAAACGAAGAAACTCGAGGGATTGGCAGAACCCAAAGAAGGTATGCAGAACCCTGAACAAACCTTACGTGTTCTGTGCGCAAGTTCACCAAGATCAGCTTCAACATTTCTAACAATGAACGGCTCTTCTAGCAACTTTCCATTATTTGGAAATTTGTCATCATCATCGACCCAGGCTGGTTCCATTTTTTGTTTTAACTGTGACAAAAAAATGTTTCGAACTCGTAAGATATAAAATTATGTATAGTGTTTTTCAACGCAATCACACAACACAAAATTTCAAAAAAGCTTTATGAATATATTTATTAAATGACCAAAGATGAACACAAAAAAATATCATAATTGAAATCAAATATTTTAAGAGGTTGTTGTAATAACTAAAATACTTTAAAGAGCTTAAAAACATCCTTCCTCAAAAAACAATTCTATCATCTAATAAAATTTTTTCCATAATTACGATGACGAACTCCAAGCTATTGAGGTGAAGCCGGCGAATACTTAAATGAAACCAAAGTTGGAAGAATAAAATGTAGTAATAAAAAACCTGCGGGCTTGACGGAGAATACTGTGGCGAATTTGGGCTATACTGCGGACTCGACGGTGAATATTGTGGTGATGATGGAGAATATTGTGGAGAAGTAGGTGAGTACTGCGGACTCGATGGAGAATATTGCGGTGATGATGGAGAATATTGTGGCGAGCTAGGGCTGTATTGTGGGCTCGACGGTGAATATTGCGGTGAACTTGGACTATACTGTGGGCTGCTAGGAGTATATTGCGGGCTTGTTGGTGTATACTTAAAGGTATATTTTAATCAAATTTTTCTACAGTTAAAAACCTGTGGAGATGTTGGCGAATATTGAGGAGAGGCTGGACTGTACTGAGGACTGCTTGGCGAATACTAAAATATTTTAATAAGTTTAAAATTAATAGATTATGTACCTGAGGACTTGTAGGAGAGTATTGAGGTGAAGTAGGACTATATCGAGGTGAAGAAGGTGAATAACGCGGTGATGTTGGAGAATACTAAAACATCAAATAATTTATGTATAGTTAAAAATAAAAACCTGTGGACTTGTAGGAGAATAACGAGGAGAGCTTGGTGAATATTGTGGAGAAGTCGGAGAATAATTAGGACTTGTAGGAGAATAATTGGGAGATGTAGGTGAATAGCTCGGTGAAGTGGGAGAGTAACTTGGCGATGTTGGACTGTATGATGGACTGGTAGGCGAATAGCTAGGACTAGTTGGCGAATACGAAGGTGAAGTTGGCGAATATGATGGTGATGTTGGGCTATACGAAGGGCTTGATGGCGAATAACGTGGAGAAGCCAATGATGGACTCATTTGTGGACTTGCTGGAAGATAACGAGGAGACGATGGATTATAAGATGGGCTTTGAAGAGCACTATAAGATGGTGAAGCGCTATATGATGGGCTAGCAGTTGCCGGTGAAAAAGCTAAAATGGAAAGGAAAATTAAGGAAAAGTTACAAATAATTACCTCCTCCAACTGCTGGAGAGAAAGCAGCCGATGGAGAGAAAGCCACACCTGGAGTCATTGCATTGCCAATAGGACTCCACCCACCAGAATAGGAAGGTGTTACTCCTGCATTCCAAGGCGTTGCAGCCGGACTCATTGCTGAGCTAATAAAATATATTTTTGTTGTGATTTAAGTTCATTGTACCTAGAAGGCGAGGAAAGTCCATCATGTCCTGTATAGAAGCCGCCTCCTCCAACATAAGCACCTATCTGATTTCCAGGAATGTCCATAGCTAATTTGCATTTTTCAGAGTCGAGAACCATGTCGAAACATCCAGTTCCTGCTTTGGACATTTGTCCTAACATAATATTCTCAGAAACACCTGAATAAAACACGATAAAAATAAATGACAATAACCAATTAACCTTTAACGGGGTCAACTTCTGCATGAACGGCTGCTTCCATAAGAATATCAACAGTTTCTTCGAATGAGCATCGCATCAACGCACCAACTTCTTGTCGATTAATTCCATGTCGAGTAATAGCCATTAAATAACCTAATATATTCGAAATATTAATTTAAATTTTTAAATTAAAAATAAGTTACCTTTAGCAGTCATAACGTCACAAAGCAACGCCAAATGTCGATAGTTCACATAAGAACCGTCAAAAGAAATTACTTGATTCATCTCGCGTTCAATTGCGCGACGAACAGCTTCAATTCCAAGCACCTCAAATATTTCACAAATATCATTGCTATATGTTCTAACACAATCTACATCTTGTTCACTCAAAACCTGAATAAATGTTTTGAAAAATATAAATGAATCACACCTTAAGCAAAGCAGTTCCATCAGTTTCAAGTAACCATTCGGGATGCATATGAAACTCTCCCTCTGATGTAATTGTCACTCGTTTTTTATCATCAGTCATTGGTTTGTGCATATAAACTTTAACTATTGATTCAATTCCTTGAAGAGTAAGATCACTAAGCATATTTTGCTCCAAAGCTCGCAGTAATTGATCGTCTTCCATCTTATCTAATTGATCCTAAACAAAGCAATTATAGTACAAAAAATTGAAAAAAACTATATGACAGACCTCGCCCTCCTTATCCGAAGATGCATTACTAAGCCGCAGATGAAAAACAAGTTTATCTGCATTGTCATCTGTGTATATAACTTGCAAGTCATCTTTGAATGATTGATTTATTCGTTCAGCAACTGCTTCCATGGAAAGCTTCTTATCAACCATTCTTTTTCTATCTAGTTCAAGACGAAGCAACCAAGGCGAAGCATTTGAAGGATCAAAATCAGGCATCTCATAAAAGATGTTAACCCAATCTTGATCTTCTTCAATACAAGTATTCCGAGGATCAGGATCATAATAAATTGCAGTGTTAGCTGTCACTTTTCGCAAAGTACAATGTTCTAAACGGCACAGCACATCTTTCGCCTTCTCAGCGTCTTTAGCAGCAAGACCCTATTCAAAATTTGTTATCTTTTAAATATAAATGAAAAACCTTTAGAAAAACAGTCAAAGATGGAGTCTTCGGCTTCTTCGAAACGTTAATAATTTCCTTAAGACGCGGCACACCAAGAGTAACGTTTTTAGCAGAGACACCAGCGTAGTGAAAAGTGTTTAAAGTCATTTGTGTTGCAGGCTCACCCAAACTTTGTGCAGCTAAAGCACCGACCATCTCACCCGGCTGAACTATTGCTGTACAAAACCGTGTCTCAATCTCTCCAAGAAGCCACTCAAAAGCCTCTTCATTAAGTTTATGTTGTTTGGCCATTTTGAGTGAACATAACATCGATCGCAATAAAATGTTCATCAGAATTGTGGCATTTTCTTGTGCCTGTTTACTGATTGAATCTTCTCCCGAAACAATAACAAGCTTCTTGGAAAGATCACGCACACCTTCGATTACTTTAATCGGACTCTGTAATTTTTTAAACTAATTTATAAAATAAAAAACATATATACCAAATCGACAGGTTGTCTAAGATTGACGTGAAAAATCTTCTGTGCGTTTTTGATAAAACGATTTAGATTACACGGAAGATAAATTTTGACACTTGGTCTTGGAAAAATTTGTCGAAGTGTTTGTCTATCTATTTGAAGCTGTCGCCATTCATCCTCAACAATCTTAAGAGCTTCAGCAGAATTCTGAATATGAAATTTTGTTCAACTAAAATTATAAATTTCCAAACCGTAATTTGTTTGATAACATTTTCTGTGTACAATCTTCGCAGCTGCTTTTCATTGCTCAAATCTAACTTAAACTCTCTTTCAAACAACATATTATTTGGTTTTAAAGCCGGTAAATTTTGATCTTCAACCCACATACCATCCAGTCCATCTTCACCATAACGTAATTGCATTACAGAACTGACGAAATAATTCAAATAAAAATATAAAAATATACCCGACAGAATTCCTAACAGTTCCATCATAGTTAATCATTACACTTTCCATAGCTTTAATCAAACGACGTTGAATGTAACCGGTTTCAGCAGTTTTAACAGCTGTATCAATCAATCCTTCACGTCCACCCATTGCGTGAAAAAAGAATTCAGATGGTGTGAGACCAGCCAAGTATGAATTCTCAACAAAACCACGAGATTCTTAAACAATATGAGTGTAACTTCAATTTTTAAAGTTAAACCTGGGCCATAGTCGTCCTTAATAAAATGTGGAAGTGTTCGATGACGGAACCCAAAAGGAATTCGCTTCCCTTCAACATTTTGCTGACCGACACAAGCAATTACCTAAATCGAGTGAAATTCAATGTTATTAAATATAAAGGGATGTTCTTACTTGTGAAATGTTAATTTTTGATCCCTTAGAACCGGCTACAACCATAGACTTAAAATTGTTAGCCTCAGAAAGTGATTTTTGTGCAGATGCGCCAGTTCTATCTCGAGCATCGTTCAGTATACGGTTAACAGCATTCTCGAAGGTTTGCCTCAAAGTATTTCCAGCTGTCGGCTCCAATTTGTCATTGTGAGCATCTTCTATAATGTTGATTACATCCTGTTTGGCTTTTCTAATAGTCTCTTGAATGTCGCGATAAGTGGCTTGATCGGCGATTGTGTCACCTAAACACAAAATAATTGTTTAAAAATGTTTAAAATCACACCAATTCCAATTGTGTGGCCTTCGCCTAACAACCAAGCATTGACTACAGTTTGTATATGCGAATAAAAATTAGCAGCAATTTCATGACCAAGCTCCAACGCAACAATGTGAAGTAGATTTCCAGAACCACGGCCAACTGTTTTCGCACAAACTATGCCAGAAATTAGGTCACCATTTTCAATTAAAACTTTTGTATCTCCTGGTGAGATCCATTTATAAGGGCCGCTATCTTCGTCATCTGGATGCGTTGAATGCGTTCGTTCAACATTTACAGTTCCTAAACGAGTAAAATAAAAGCTAGAATACAATATCCAAACCAGGAATAATCATAGAAAAAATCTGCTTCCCAGTCCATAAAGGTTTTGGTTTAATAATTGCAGGTTGAGGTATTTTTCCGTCCCATGTAGGCATTTGCATTAATAAATCCATCAAACGTGGATATTCAACAAAAACATCTCTTTTTGTCATCATTCTAACCGCAGTAAGAGTATCCTGCACAATACCCATGACGGGTTTGTTTGCTTGCGGAGTAATTAACTGTTTGGGTACCTTAAAAATAAAAAGTAAATGTAATTATATTAATTTTAAACAGAACAATTGCAATTTCGCTAATTTCCGCACGAGTTTCCAATGATTGAGGTAAATGCAAATTCATTTCATCTCCGTCAAAATCAGCATTATAAGGTGTTGTAACAGACAAATTCATACGAAAAGTAGACCAAGGAAGAACTTTAATTCTATGTCCCATCATTGACATTTTGTGTAATGTTGGTTGACGATTAAAGACAATAATGTCGCCATCTCGCATGTGACGTTCAACCTTGTAACCATATTGAAGGTGTAAATCTGCGGGACGCGGATGAAAACGCAAGTCAATTCTAGCACCATTATCACGGATAATATATTTGGCACCAGGATAATCACGGTCACCACATTCAACGAGCTTTTGAAGACTAAAAACAAAAATAAACTTAAAAATGAGCATATTATTATAACTAATTTCCTTACTGTTCAATATTAAATGGCGTCACAATTTCAGGAAATGTTAAGTTCTGAGCGATACTTCTCGGCACGCCCACAGTATCAATAGGCAAATTTGGATCAGGCGTAATGACTGTTCGAGCAGAAAAATCAACACGCTTGCCCATAAGATTTCCACGAATACGTCCTTCTTTGCCTTTAAGGCGCTGATTTATAGATTTTATAGGGCGACCGCCTTTTTGATGTGCCTGTATGTAAATTTTATAATAAATCATTAAAATCGAAAAATGCAAAAACATACAACTGCAAGTCCAGGACTACTGTTATTAATCATTGTGGCAACATGGTATTGCAACAAAATTACATCCTCGGCGAGTACATGCGAAGCTGCACCGTTCGCTTCGTTTCTGAAAGGAAAAAAGCAAATAAATTAATTGAGAAAATAAACCGTTTTAATTGAATATTTGCCTTAACAATTTCAGCCAATTTATATGTCAAGTCGTCTTGACTGGTAATCGAACTAAAAGTCGTTACAGAAGGTCGGACAGCTAAAGGAGGAACAGGAAGCACTTGACATATCATCCAATCTGGTCTAGAGAATTCTGGACTCATCCCTGAAAAATAATTTTTAATTAAATAATTATTTAAAAAATACCAAGAACTTCGCAGTCCTCGTCAGAAATTCCTTTAAAAATTTCTAGAGTTCTCTCCGCAGTCAGTTGAATCTTCCTTTCCTGCGTATCTTCATTAACGTGCTTTTTCCATTCTGCTTCAATTTCAATACCTCTAACACGTTTGTAAGATGGTTGATAACGTCCACATCCACCAACTTTAGTCTCCTTTTCAACTGTCTCATCATCATCAGGATTAGTTACTTCTTCGGCACCCTCACACACATTTTTTGATTTACAAACATCATAGACTAATGTAATACACGCTCGCATATTATGTTGAGTTTTCTTAATAATTTCTTTAATTCGAACATCATCTTTATCAACAAGTAATCGACTGCAGTAAAAACAAACACAACGAAGAACCTTAATAAATTCATGTAAGCCTTTATAATAGTTAATATTCTTACCTTTAAAGTCTTTGCAATAAAAATTATATTATAAACTGGCTTAGCCAACTCCAAATGAGCAAAATGTCCTGGGCATTCGTTGTAACTTCCTGCACATGTAATACAAACTCCTCTCTTTTCAATAACGCCTTGTCTAGGATCATTAAGTCCTTCAAATTTTGGTTTTCCATTTTCTTTCACTTCTGGAAATTCTATTTGGCACACAGACATACGCTTCTTAAAACGTATTTGGAATCAAAAAGTATATCAAAAAGTAGACTTACAATCTCATCTGGACTAAGAATTCCAAACTGCACCCTTTTTACCTCCCGAAGTGGAGCTTTGAAGTCAATACCAACCAGTGACATTTATCTTCTAAAAATCAAAAACACATAGTATATTTACTTATTAATATGAATGGCAGGATTACAAATATGAAAAATCTACGAGTATCTGGCCTTTTCAGGTTTATGTATCCCAGACCAAGGAAAAATTCCAAATTAAAATATTTCATAAAATCCGAAACGGCCCACTTAGTCGCGGACCACTTAGTCGCGACCATTTAGTCGCAGGCCACTTAGTCGCAAGTCCACTTTGTCGCAGGCCAAGATCCTTTTTTCAGGTCCTTAAAACTCAAACGTCCCTGTTTGTCCCCACACTAGTGAACGACATATCTACGTTTTCGTCGATTCGCGGCGAATAACTACTTTTATTCGCGAACGACTTTTTTTTAATACATAATGCCAGAACTACGTTAATATCGATGTTTTGCGCCAAACGATTGCGAAACGACTTTTTTGTGTCTCTTTTTCTCTAATTTCACATTATATTTCCTTTCTCTTTTTCTATTAATTTTCTATGTCGTTGTCTCTCCATTGGAATTTTTGTTAGGTTTTCGTTTTCTAAAGTTTAAAAAAAATAAAACAACAAAATTTTATTCATCTTTAAATAATGATTGTAATGAAATAAGTGTAGAAAATGAAATAAGTGTACTAATTGTTTTGCTAATTGATCCAAATTATTTAATTTTTCTTGTTGTGAAGCAATAGCTTTATCAAAATCTTCATGTTTTTTAATTAGAGATTCAACATTATCCCCAGTCGGGTCCTCTTGAGCGAGAAAAGCGTAAACGATTGGCCTAATAAACAAAAATTGCTTTTAAAAGGATTCAATTTTTAACTTTTTCATCTAAAGCACGTATTTTATCCCCTAAAGCAGCCAAATCCCTTTCAACTCCCTCATGTTTTCTTTGTAGAGCTTGGACTGAACGAAGATCACGACCAAAATCTTCAGTATCCAAAGCTTCATTCTTTTCTTGTATCCAATCCCTCGTCTCCTCCACGTCCTTATGGAAACGTTGAACTTCATGTGCAGATTCTAATTGCTGCCCTCTTTGTTCCGCCTTTTGTTCTAAAGCCTTCCAACTAGTAGCAATTTGATTCATTTCTTGTAATCTAACTTCATTTGCTTTCAAGTCACATTTAAAGTCATTGAATTTTGTTTGTAATACTTCTGCATGTTCCAAATCTTGACCAATTTCTTGTTGAGAAGCAACTGTTTCTCGTGACTTTATCCACTCTGCGAGGTCATTTGCTTCACGCAATAATTGGTAGGCTTTAAATAAAAGGGATTTAAAGATAATTTTGGGATTGTTTTCTAAACAACCTTTGTAAGCCTTTTCCAGTTTTCTCTTTCGTTGATCACCCAAAACCATTAAACGTTGGTACTGATCTTCAATTTGACTTTGTTTCGCGTTAATAGTGTTTACAGGTTGGCCAGCAGTTGCTTGGTGGTGATGTTGAGAACCAGGCTCGATATATTTAACATATTCCATGATCGCCTACTCTTCGGACTTCCTAGATCTAATCCTTAAGGATATGGATTTTCGACGTTTCGATGACGGTGTCACAGGTTCTTCGAGATCGCCGCTTTCGAATGCGACTCTTAATTCATTTTCAAATTCATCCATTTAGTAAGAATATATGTGGAAAAATCCCTAAAAATTACAGAAAAGGGACTGAACATTTATAAAAATGGAAAATTGCAAATTCCAAAGGAGAGACTACACAAACGAAAATTAATAGAAAAAGAGAAAGGAAATATAATGTGAAATTAGAGAAAAAGAGACACAAAAAAGTCGTTTCGCAATCGTTTGGCGCAAAACATCGATATTTACGTAGTTCTGGCGTTGTGTGTTTAAAAAAAAGTCGTTCGCGAATAATTGTAGATTTTTTTAAAACGACTTTTTTTCCTTAAGAAAAAGTCGATATGTCGTTCACTACCCCACACAAACGGGGACGTTTGAGTCAAAAATTCTTTTCATTGTGAGGACGATTTAGGGATTATACGCGATTTAGGGGGACTTTTGGGTTATGATTTTTTATTACTATACATAGTACAACCCTAGATCTAATTTAAAATCCTGTTAGGTGAATTAAAAAATTACCATACATATACATATTTCATTAAATGCTCTTTTTTCCTATCTTAAATTTAGTTCATCCTATTTAAAATTCTAATAAGATTCTCTTTCATTACTTACACCTATTTTAAAATAAATTTAATTAAAGTTCTATTGTGTGTGAGAAGCCGTCCACTTGCTCTACAATTTTCAATCATATACATTTCACCCTATCCCTTTTTTCTTTCTTTCGCGATCATAATCGATCAAATTCCTCAGCCATTGTTGAACGACGTGACAATTCCACCCTTCTACCTCTCTGAAGTAATTCCCAATTCTACATTCCTTTACTGCACATTCTTTACTTTCAACACAAAATAGTACACCATGGCCACCCTTAATTCTCGATTAGCTGCAACCCAATACACTTAACACTCACCTAATTCCCATTATCCTTTCTTTTTGTCCACCTTCCCCTATATTTTTGCTGCGCCTGTTTTATGTAACTTCATTACATTACAAATGACTAATTCACAATAACACGATAAAAAGAATTTTAACATTTTTCCAGCCGCCGCACCTTCTTTTCACGGCCACTTTAATTCTTTGCATTCTACACCGAAATTTTGTCCAAAGGCCACCATTAGCTCATTGATCTTTATTACACGACTAATTTCAAATGTCTTCACATCTTCCTTATCAACATTATAAAGACAGACCACCGGCTCCTGTTCGATTTTCATCATCCTCTTCATCGTCTTCTTCCACAATGGCCACGCCGAGAGTGCATCCAAGCGTCTATGAGTCGGCAGCAATTCATACAAAGGTTGAGACGTCAGAGACTGGTCTCTTTGGATTTGGAAACAACGACAAGAAAAAATCAAAGAAGAACAAAACTACTTTTGGAAAGAGTAAATTTATAATTTATTTGATTTATTTAATTAAATTGTTTGCAGAGAACAAAGAAAAGGAGAAGATGATCGACAAACCTATCATTTCGTTGCCATCTGATTTTCAGCACACGGTAAAATTTTTTGAACTGTGTTTTTAAAAATGTTCTTATAGGTCCACGTCCGGTATGACCCGGAGACTGGCGAATTTACCGGAATGCCTAAAAGCTGGGAGTTACTTTTGCAACAAAGCCAAATTAGCAAGCAGGAACAACAACAAAATCCTCAAGCTGTTCTTAATGCCTTGAAATATTTTACTCGTGGTGAAGGTGGTGGACAAAAATGGTTACAAGCTAGTAATTCGTCCTATGACTCTTCTCCACTTCACTCAATTTTCGAACATCAAGTATCGCTTCAGTCTAATGGTTCACAAGAACAACATTCTTTTACACATAGTGGAAATAAACATTTGGCTCATACACTTAGTTATTGTACTGGATCATTGCCTCTTTCGCCTAAACGCAATGGTTCATTGAATTCTGGTGGCCAAGGTTATTAAAGGAAAATAAGATAATAAAACCTATTATTTCCTAGATCAATGGAGTGTAGTGGAAGCAGAAAGAGTTGGGCAAATGTCTGAATCAGCTGCAACTCGGAGCAGTATGCCACCAGTAATATCTTTTTTTTGTTTTAAAATAAATCATTAAAATGACAGGGCTATTCTCCTCCTTCAGCTCCACAGGAACCCGATGAAAATATTAAAGGTGATGATAAACCTCCGCCTCCAATTCCAGAAAGACCACAAAAAACCTTGTCGATTTATACAAAACCACGTGAGGAGGAGGAAGAAATGGCTGAAACCCGTCGTGATCCTTCAGATTATTTAATTCCCAATGGGCAGTTTGGAAGAAGAAATGCTGGACCAAGACGACGGCCTACAGATGCTGAAGTACTTGTTAAACTCAAAACTGTATTTTTGTTTTTTCAAAGAAAAATTTAAAAAATCTTTTCAGATTGTGAGTATGGGGAATCCTGATAAAAAATATCAAAAACAAGAAAAAATTGGATCTGGAGCTTCTGGTTCTGTATTTACGGCCATTGAAGTAAATACTGGAGCGGAAGGTAAATTGAATGATTTTAATAGGAAAAAAGTAATTATTTTTAGTTGCTATAAAACAAATGAATTTGAGTCAGCAACCAAAGAAAGAATTAATTATCAATGAAATTTTAGTAATGCGAGAAAATAAGTAAATAAATATTTTTAAAAAAATTTTCTAAATTTTTAACTTCTCATTTATAGACATCCAAATATTGTAAATTATTTGGACTCCTATTTAGTTGGTGGTGACCTTTGGGTTGTAATGGAATATTTGGCAGGTGGTTCTCTCACAGACGTGGTTTGTTTCTAATTAATTTTATGATCGCTATAAGAATATATTTATTCTAAAGGTAACTGAATGCCAAATGGAAGAAGGAATGATTGCGGCTGTTTGCCGTGAAGTGCTCCAAGCATTAGATTTTCTCCATTCCCGACATGTCATTCATCGAGATATAAAATCTGATAACATTTTACTTGGAATGGATGGCTCAGTTAAACTTACGGATTTTGGATTTTGTGCTCAAATTTCTCCAGAACAGAATAAAAGGACAACGCTCGTTGGAACGCCTTATTGGATGGTATGGTTATGTTTTATGTAAATATTTTAAGAATTTTTAGGCGCCAGAGGTTGTATCTCGTCAACAATATGGTCCAAAAGTGGATATTTGGTCGCTTGGAATTATGGCTATTGAAATGGTGGAGGGAGAACCACCTTATTTGAATGAAAATCCTCTTAAAGCTATTTATTTGGTTAGTTTAAATTTTTTTTCTAATAAATAAACTACTTTTAAATTGTTTTTAAATTTTTAAGATTGCCGCTAATGGTCGTCCAGATTTTCCAAGTCGTGAACAGATCTCACCCCTTTTCCGTGATTTTATTGATGCTTCATTAGAAGTGAGTTTAATTTTCAAGTGAGGGATTGAATTTAGTTTTGGAACATGACCTTTATAGGAATATTCCTAAGTAATAATTTGGGGGAAAATTTTATCCAAAAAATTCTAAATCTTAAAATGGTCGAGTTTTAATCATGGATTTATGTAAACATTATAAATATTCGTTTTAAGGTTGATGTAAATTCGCGTCTCTCTGCTAAGGAACTATTACGACATAATTTCCTTAAATGTGCCAAACCTTTAAATGGATTGCATTATTTAATCGAAGCTGCAAAACGTTCAATAGCAAATAGTGGTTAAAAGAAGTTTTAAAAGATTTATTTTACCCTTTAAAAACTGTTTGTATTTTTGGAAACAAATTACCTATTTAACCATTTTAATCCAAAAATCATCGAATTCCTCATATTTGTAAGCCTTATTCTTCCTAACGTTTGTTCGGGTCCTTTTACTTAATTCATCGACATCCAACTTTGATTTTTGTCTATATATAAATAATACATTCAAATATATTTGTTCATTTACTAGGTCGGTTCATAAAAAAGTTCGTTTTACATAAATGGTTGTAGAATTTTTTCTAGATGTTCAAAACCTTTGAAATTTTGCATAGTTATTCATTCAAGTGTTTCCTAATAGATCCCAAAATTTGAGAATTTTTGGTTCGGTATTCAGGGAGTTGTGGTCGGAAACATCGAAAATCTGAAAACCATCGGGGTTCGAGCCCTCTCAGGCATATGTAATTGTAATATCTATTGTAATATATCAATCGAAAGCTCTTAAAAATCTCTATCAAGGGGGCCTAAGTGCCGAATTTTTCATAAACGGGAATGTCGATTTTCAGAAATGTCGAAATGTCGAATTCCGGGTTAGACACAAGTTACAGACTTTATTCTTCGTATTTAGTCATAAATCATATATTTTATGTACAAAACCGTTTAGATCATCAAGATCGGATGATTTTACGCAAAGTTAGAAAAAACACTTTTTTGGGGGGATGTGTAACATAGTTTTCGACAACAACTTTTTAGGAGATTAGAACTCCCTGAATACCGAACCAAAAATTCTCAAATTTTGGGGTCTATTAGGAAGCACTCAAATGAATAAATATGCAAAAATTCACAGCTTTTGAATTTCTACAAAAAATTCTATAACCATTTTTGTAGAACGAACTTTTTTATGAACCGACCTAGTATTTGAATTTTGCTCATTCCTTACCAATTTTTAAAAAAGGTTTTTCATCCAATTTTATTCACGATTTATGTACTTAGAAAATTTTAAAAATTTATTTACTTAATTTTTTTGTTTTAAATAAAAGTATAATTTTGTTTAATTTTTAAGGAAATGTTTTGTTAATTTTTGGTATTAAAATCAGTATCTTCCTCCTCACCGCTTGGCTTTAAATATACATAAATCTTTTTCCCTCTACTGACAAAGAGATAAAATAATTATATTTATACATATGCAAATTACAATTTGTTTAAAATATACAATCTAAGGATAAGGTCCATCAAAATCCATTAGCACCAATTTTGTATCTTCTGTTCCATTTCTTGAACCAACTGCACAAACAAGCATTGTAGGGGTTGCTTTCATTCTAACAAAAATTGAAAATTTATTATTCATATTCGAACATTTTACCTCCAAACACAACCTCCAGCACCACTAGACGGCAATTTAATTAAGTCGCAAATAAAACTTCCTGAAAAGCCAGAAAAGAATATATTAACTAGCACAAAGCTTTAATTAAATTATTTCTAATAAATTTTGACAAAAAGCTCTAATTTTCAAAGGTTAAAGGTTCTTTTGGTTTGGCTCTATTTAATTTAGTTTATTAATGTAAACCAGAATAATTTTCCATTATTTTTTATTTCCTCTTTAACCAACCTTCTTCAATATCCCACAATTTTACAGTTCCATCATCTCCACTTGTAGCAATCATTCCATTATCGAGAAATCTAAAGCCTGTCACAGCTGAAGCATGTTTATTTGGCCCGGCAAGTGTGTGGATACACGTTCCATCTAAAATATTCCAAACCTAAAAATATTTGAATAAAAAGATTTTTTAAAATGTAAACTCAAAAAAATCTCCGTTTGGATGCCCCCCCTCCCTCGTTTAATCAAAAATTTACTTTAATTGTAGAATCAGCATTAGCCGAAATTAATTTATTTCCTCTCAATTTCATTCCAGAAGTTAAAGATTGATGCCCAACAAGTGTTTGACTTAAAAAAATTATTTAAAAATATTTTTTTAAACCTACAGGCATTCCCCTGTTTTTACATTCCAAACTCTAATTGTTGTATCAAGAGAACCAGAAATAACCAAATTACGTTCTTTAACAAACTAAAAAAATTTTTTTTGTCAAAATTAAAAATTAATTTTTCTAAAAAAATACGTGTAACGAATAAACTCTGTGTGTATGGCCCTCCAAAACATGTTCTAAAGTCCCATTTTCAGCATTCCAAACATGTATTTTATGATCATAACCACCAGAAACAACTGAGGAACCGGCATATTTAACACATCTAACGGCCGCTAAATGACCAATAAATGGACGAATACAACGACCTTCTTCGATATTCCACATTCTAATTGTACAATCACGAGAACCTGTTACCAAACTAAAATAAAAACAAAATTGAATCGAAAATATGCTGATTATGGAAGATCTCCCAATCCTGAAAACTAATTCTGGTTACTTTCCTTTCAGGCTCTTTTCCTCTTTTTTAGAGGAGAAACGAATTTCTCCTTGATGAGAGGAGAAAGAAGTAAAAGGGAAAAGACAAAAATCTGCGGACATGTAGGGGATATAAACGCATAAACCCCAAAAAAACTAAATATTTACATATTTCCAGATAAAGACATGCATCTAACAGTACTAGAATGTCCATTTAAACAACGCATCAAAACACCAGTTTCAACATTCCAAACTCGAACTAAAAATAAACAAAAGAAACTTTTATTTAAATTTAAAAAACCAGTCCTATCAGTAGAACCGCTAATAGCAATTTTTCCGTCCTCAGATAATTGGAGTGCCCAAACACCTCCAGTATGTCCAGTTAATACTTGTGTACACTCTCCCGTCCCTACAGACCAAACTCTTAAAGTACAATCATCAGAACCAGTTACAAGACGATCACCACGTAATTTTAAACAAGTTATTACCTTTAAAAATAAAATAATTTTGCTTAAAATATTTACATGTTCATCATGTCCTCGTAAATGACAAATTGCATTTGGACGTCGAAAACGCCAATTATTAGAAATATGTTGATTTCTTAAATAAATAGCCTTCCATTTAGATCTTTCCAAACAAGACGGTAAATTTAATTGTGAAAAGTGTAAAGAAGATGAAGGTGATTGGAATAAAGATTTACAAAAAGATGAAGAAATTTTTGAAGAAAAAGATGAATCTCCGTCAAAATAATGGGGGGATTCTTGTGGAGAATCGACTAGTCCAGCAGAAAACAACGCCCAATTTTCCCTTCTAGCAAGACTTTAAAAATTTGTTTAAGAAAAAAGAATATTTTTTAAAAAAACTTTGGAGGGAAAATTTCTTTAATATTATATTGAAGACATTTTTTCATCCAAAGAATGTGATCCTCGGCAAGATGACGCCATGTACGTGAAATACTTGCAGAAAGCACCAAGTCTTTAGGAGACAAGTAGCTAAGAATTTTGAATGAAAGCTTTAAAATAAAATGAAGATAAAAAATAAAATTAAAAAAAACCTCTTTTGGAAGAAGACGAATGAAATCAATTTGAAAATATGGAGCAATTAAATTATGTAAATGCCTAATTTGGTATTGTTTACAAGTTGGAACGAGGGAATTGAGTGCTTCGAGTTGAAGAGATTCGGGCATATTCTTTTAAAAAATTAAAAAGTTTTGTTCAAAAAATATTTATTTTATTACCCCAAAAATTGATAGCCATTCTGTTATAGTTGGATCGGTTTTGAATTTAGTAGTCCTAAAAAATAAATTTTTTGATCAACTATAAAGGAAAGGAATAATATTTCTTTAAACATTTTTGCATAATTTCTTCCGTTAATTTTCTTTTACTTGCCCTTTGGCCCTCGAGTCATTTTTGTTGAAGATGTACAAATGGTAAGTGAATAGTGAAATCATAGAGCTCATCGAGTTGAGTCCCCCAGGATCGGTCTGTGATACTTATCTGAGCTGAGTTACAGGGGTCCAAAAATGTCCAAAAAAGATTTCGGAATTACAATAAATAAATATTATTGCACTAAATTTTAAAATAATTTTTAAAAAGTCCTTTTTGCTTTTCTCTATTTTGATTGACAAGAAAAGGAAATTTAAGGAAGAAATTATAGTAATATTTTAAAAATATAATTCAATCCTCTTCCTTTATAGCAAGGCCAGCTTTTTATTAATGTTTTTAGAAATACCTCTCAAATTGAACAAATTTTTTCTTTGAATCAGTAATCATTTGAATTTTTGCTATATCATTACTTCTTTTCTAAAAAATCAAAATAAAAATTTAGTATATTTATTAAATAAAAACTCGTTGATTTTGTTGTAATGTATCCTTTTTAAAAATATTTTCACTCATAAAATCAAAAGAATAATTAATAAGTCTTTAGCGAATTTTAAAAATCAGAAGTTGAAGCATTCTAAAAAGATGACACACTTATTCTGGTTGAAAATGTTCTAAATACTAGAGTTGTACCCCGACCCCGTACCCCGAACCCCGACCCCGTTCCCGAACGATTTTTTCACGATTCTCCCCGACCCGAACCCCGCCCCGAAAAAAAGTGAAAACCCCGTTCCCCGGCCAAAAAAATTTCGGGGTTATCGGGGTTTTATACCCCTAAAAAATGTCATTTTTTGGAGAAATTAATGGAGAAAATTTTAAAAATTTCCACCCATTTTACTTTACTTTTATTATTTGTGAAAGAAAAATGAATGAAATATCATAATTTTCTTTCCTTCTTTATTAAAAGACTTGTGGTTGAGTGGCTTAGTCGGTGGTTTTAGCCGATATTTTGTTAATATAGGAGTGGGTTTGGATCCATATAAGGAGAACTCTATAGTTTTTATATTTCTTTACAAAAACAAATTATTAACGAGTTAAATTTTAATTTGAAAATATTAATTTTATTTTTAACTGATATCCCTTGAACCACCTTTAATCCTTCAACCCCTGTATCAGAGGAGGGTCGAAATTCCGATTTCCGACGTTTTTTTCTTGCCGATTTCCGAAATTTTGGAAAAATTTCCGATTTCCATGAATTTTTAAGGCAAATTTCCGACGAAGATTTTTCCAATATTTTCAAAATTTTCGCCTGCGGCGTAAAAAACGGAAGAAATCTGGCTTCTAGCCTTCTATAATTCTCAAAATTTTCGCATGCGGTGCAAAAAATGGAAGATTTTTGCCTTAAGGATCTTCCAAATATTCAAAATTTTGCCTGCGGTGCTGTTAATGGGAGTAATCGGAGGATTTAATCCTTAAAAATCCCACTTAATCCCTCCAGATCCACTTATATCCCAAGTTATACACTTTAATCTCTTCAAATCCCCTCTAATTTCTTCAAATCCTACTTAATTTTTGAATAAATCAACGAAAATATATCGATTTCTAATTATTTTTGAGCATTTTTTTCTCTAAAAATTTTTCCACTAAACCCCCGTACCCCGACCCGAACCCCGGCCATATTTTGCTCCCCCGACCCGAACCCCGCCCCGAAACAATTGGAAAACCCCGTACCCCGACATACCCGCCCCCGAGCGTTCGGGGTACAACCCTACTAAATACTTATTAACATTATTTAGTAATTCACGAAAATCAGATGTGGGCGCATTGCGTTATTTGCGCCAATTTTTGTCGTTGCGTTTTGCGGAAATTTGCTAAAATAACGCCACAAAAAAAGGTGCAATTCTGGCTTATTGGGCTAGAATTCCAAAAAGTGATATTTAAAAGCTACTTTTTTTTATTGGATGGATAAATATTAAAACAATGATAAAAAATTTTAATTTTGCGTTGTGTTTTCTGAAATTGGTTTTGCGCTCACCCAAATTGAATTGCACGAAAATTATCCACAATAACGGTGGATTATGATTGGGTCATTTTTTATTTTTATTTTTTAATTTACTACATATTATCATATTAAATGTTAAAGTACATTTTAAACTCGTTGATATATTTTAGAATGTACAACAAAAAGTAAACTGTACGAGGTACTTTTCCAGAAACAGGGAAGTACTAATTACGAGATATCAATTATTCTTTCATACTGTTTTTCACATTATTGGAACCTATATTTATTAGATTTACAGATTTTTTGCTAGTTTTATTCGAATTTTTATTTATTTTAAAGTATGTCAGAATATGTTGAACCAAATCCGGAACCCGGCAAATTTTATCGTGGATTGATTCAACAATTTGGGTTTGATTGTTTTATAATTTTATAATTTCTTCAAAATTTTTTAGAGGACCAAATGCAAAGAAACTCGACAAGAATGACATTCTCGAGCTTAACCGTCTTTGCGCTGAAAATAAATGGGACATGGTTTTTTTAATAAAAATAGATGGTCATGTTTTTTTTTTAAATTTAGGTCAACAATGTGCCACGTTCTTTTTGGCTTATGAATGCTAAGGATAGAGCAATTGCTTACAAAATATGGTTTAAAATGGTTTTTAGTTTATTTTTAAAATTTTAATTTAATTTTTTTAGGATGTTCGCAATCCTTATATCGAGGCGAAGATTTTTCCAGTACTTCACAAATGGCCGAGAGCTACTCCATATATTATCGCTAATCGTTTCATTGTGATTACTGCAATGTTTTTTATAGGTATTTGTTTGTTTTTATTAAAACTTAAAAGAAAGGATTCGAAAACCTTTTAATCTTTTAGTCTCCTATTAATGTTTGAGACAAAATAACAAAAATTCCTAAACTATTTATTGTTTTTTTTTCCATTTTTCTGTGTTGTCTATTGATCTCATTAATTAAAAAAGGACATTTTTAAATTTATTTTAAACGTCATTTTTTATAGTTCCGAAAATATATGAATGGGTTGTTCCGGCAAGTTATCGCTGCAAATATAATCCAAATGTTTGAAGATTATCTCAAATTAATGCTTTAGGATTTTTCTTGTATTTAAATTTGTTGATAAATGTATTTGATTTATTTTATGAATTTAATCGTTAATTTTGTTATTTTCACAATTTAAAATATATACTTACAATTTCACTTATAATATTAATTTTTTTATGTTTTCAAGAAATGTTAGCTTCTGAAGATATTGACCCTCTAAATAATTCTGACATTAATGACCAACAAGAAATATTTTCTGAAATAATTTCAAATGACAAATCTGATAAAAATGGAGATATAAAGGTTTTATTTTGTTTAATATTATTTAAGTATTTGAGGATTCCACAAATGGTGATCAACCTGCATTGGATGGGGAGCTTCAAGTTGACATCTCTGATGCTCTTTCTGAACGTAATAAAGTTAAATATACAGTCCATACAAAAACGACATTTCCTGAATTTTCAAAATCTGAAATTTCTGTCGTTAGGGAGCATGATGAGTTTATTTGGCTTCACACATGTTTGGAAGACTGCGAAGAGTATGCCGGGTTTATTGTAATTTTCTATATTTATTTTTTAATCATCTTTTAAATTGAGATTCCGCCAGCACCTCCGAGACCTGATTTTGATTCTTCTCGAGAAAAACTTCAAAAACTTGGAGAAACTGAAGCTACAATGACTAAAGATGAATTTTCTAAAATGAAGCAGGAACTTGAACAGTTACTATTTAAATTTAAATTATTTTTTTAAATTTAATTTGTTTCAGAGAATATTTGGCACTTTTTAAGAAGACCGTTGCAATGCATGAATTTTTCTTATGTCGATTGGCAGCGCATCCAGTTTTTCGTAAAGACTCAAATTTTAGAATATTTTTAGAATACGAACATGACGTAAACTTATTTTTGTAGTTTTTATTTAGAAATTTTTGCAGCTTTCTGTGCGTGGTCGAAATAAAAGGGAAGTTTTTGGTTCGTTTTTCAAACGTTTTACTCAAACTGCTGACGAGGTGCTACTTTCAGGACAGGTAATTTACTATGTATATGATTTTAAATTTACATTGACTAAAGACTTTAGTCAATCTAGAGAAGGAGTGATTGGGAATATTTTAATCTTAAACAAACTGATTTCACATTATAATACTTAAAAGTTCAATTTGTTTTATTACAACATTCATTGCCATGCGTTTTGATTTTCCCCTCTCTTACTAAATAAAAACATAAAGATTACAAATTCATTTCCTTTTTTTAAAAAAATGTTTTGCTTTTTCATAAAATAAAAATTTTAAATAAAAATTACAGAAAGACGTCGACGATTTCTTTGAAAGCGAAAAGAATTATATGCTTGAATATTCTACTCACATTAAAGAGGCGATGATTAGATCTGATAAAGTTTGTCGACTTAGACAAAGTAAGTGTTTTTAATTAAAAAAATTTTTTTTAAATAAATTTATTTTTGGAATTGTTTTTTTTTCTAAAAATTAATTTAGTTAATTAAATTTAATTAAATTTGTCACTTTTTGTTTGTTCTATTTTTGGCTGGGAAATTTATAATAGTAATCAATGTATAGACAACTCTTCTTCATGTGTTCCTTTTTCCTCTCTGTTCGATCATCTTTTTTCCCTTTTTACTTTTTCCGTTTAAAATAAAGAAAAAAATTTTCGGAAATGATTGGTAAACTGGAAATTATGTGTGTAAATACTGAGAAAATAAATTTAAAAAATATTTATTTTACGCAAATGATTTTTAGTTTCATTAATTAATTTAAAAAAACTTTAAATAATAATTCTATAAATATATTAATTTTGATAAATAAAATACAGACGTTGCTGATTCTTACACGAGAATTGCACATGGATTGGAGAAATTCGGACAATTGGAGGGCGTTGGAGGTGAAAAGGAATTTGGACGTTTTCTGATGAGAACTACCGAATTATTTGAGAAAATGAAGAAGGCAGAATCTCGCGTTGGAACAGATGAGGAATTGAAAGAGGCGGATACTTTTCGTTATTTTGTGCGTGAATCTCAGGCAGCGATGGTGAGAAGAATTTTTTGAAAAGAAAAACATCTCTAATAATTTACTTAAGGATCTTCTCTATCGACGTCGTCGTTGTTTAGCCAATTATGAAGCGGCTAACAAAAATTTGGAACGATGTCGTGCCAGAAATCGTGACATTCAAAAGGCGGAAAAGGAGCAAGAAGAGGCCTGTAAAAAATTCGAGGATATTAGCAAATTGGCAAAAACCGAGTTGTTGGAGCTTAAAAATACTCGAATTTCGGCATTCAAAAAGAATTTAGCTGATCTGGCTGATCTTGAAATTAAACAATCAAATGTTTGTTTTTTATTTAAATATCAGATTATTTCTTTTAAGGCTAAAATTTCCCTTCTCCAAAATGCACTTCGATCTCTTAAATCTACAAGTGAAGGGGAGGGACCTTCAACGACCCCAGCCGTTTAAATTACAACAGAATTAATTGATATGCGTGCATAACTTTATTATTTTTTATATTTATTTTTGGTTATTCTTTTCAATACAACATGCTTATTTTGATCAAAATGGGAAATTCCATTTTATTTTTTAAATTTTATATTATTGTTTTTCTCCTTTTACAGACTTAAAAATTTATAATTTTTGTACAATAGTTACAAAAATTTAAAGACCTAAAAATATAATCTACATAAATATATATAAATTCTATAAATAACTTATTTACATAATTTTGCATAAAAATGATTTTCTTTTTTTCCAATCATAAATAATATAAATGTTTTAAAAATACATTAAATTTATTTTTATATAATTAAAAAAATAATGTTTAAATAATTATTTTAGTTGCAAGATTAAATGGCAGCTGATTCTCAAAATGTTGGAGCACATTGGCCTGGTAATAAAGATGTAAAAACTTTTATTTTTTCTCACTTAGTATATTTACATATTTGAAGGATTATGTTTTGCAAGATGCGATAGGAGTTGGAGCAACAGCGACAGTTTACAGAGTACGTGGGTTTTTAAAATAAATTTGTTTTTGGGATTGTGGAAGGGTATAATTCCTGACCTGTTAGACGTGTACATTGTTTTATATAGCTGATATCGATTTGTATGTATATCATTGTCCCCCTTTCCAACATAATAAATTTATCTTTTACACGCTTTTAGTCTTAAATTAGATTTTAGAGATTTTAAATATTTTTTAAAATTAAGGCGCTTTGTAAACCAAGAAATGAACTTTGTGCCATAAAATGTATAAATCTTGAAAAATGCCAAACATCAGTTGATGAACTTTCACATGAAATTCAAGCAATGTCTTTATGTTCACATCCAAATGTTGTCAATTATTATACTTCTTTTGTTAGTTTTCCTTTTTAAATAAATTTTTAATTTAATTTTAAGGTTGTTGGTGAAGAACTTTGGGTAGTTATGCGTCTTCTTAGTTGTGGATCTATGCTGGATATTTTGAAAAGAAAAATTAAAGTTTGTGTTATTTTATTAATTTTAAAAACATTTTTTAAAATTTTTAAAGGCTATGGGTAAAGATAATGCTGCTTATGGTGTTTTGGATGAAGTTACAATTGCTACAATTTTAAAAGAAGTACTTAAAGGACTTGAATATTTTCATAATTCTGGACAAATCCATAGAGATATTAAAGCTGGTAAATTATTATTTGATTTTTAAAATATTTTTATTTTTAGGTAATATTTTGTTGGCAAATGATGGGACTGTTCAAATTGCTGATTTTGGTGTTTCTGGTTGGTTAGCTGCTAGTGGAGGAGATTTATCTAGACAAGTTCAATTCTTTTTTATTAATTATAAATAAAATTTGTTTTAGAAAGTTCGGCATACTTTTGTTGGCACGCCATGTTGGATGGCACCAGAAGTAATGGAGCAAGTGGCCGGTTTTTTAAAAAAGATTTTTTAATAAGATTAAAAATGATTTTTTAAGGTTATGATTTTAAAGCAGATATTTGGAGTTTTGGAATTCTTTGTATTGAACTAGCCACTGGAACTGCTCCATATCATCGTTATCCTCCAATGAAAGTTCTTATGCTTACACTTCAAAATGATCCTCCAACTTTGGAGACAAATGCTGAACGTAAAGATCAGTACAAAGCGTGAGTTTTTTTTAATTAAAAAAAAGTTGTTCTAGAGAGGTTACTGAATAAAAATGGTAATAATAGAGATCAGGTCTTTACAAAAAAAAATTGAAAATTCTTTCTTTAGAAAAATAATTTTTATATTTTTTTAAAGTTATGGAAAAAGCTTTCGAACTATGATAAAAGATTGTCTTCAAAAAGATCCAGCTAAAAGGCCAAATGCTTCAGAATTACTTAAATATTCTTTTTGCAAAAAATCTAAAGATAAGAATTGGTTAGTTCATTCACTTATTGAAAATATTGGTGCTGCACCGATACTCCCTACTTTACCAAAGAAAGTTCAAAGTGGAAAATTAAAAAAGGATAAAGATGGAAATTGGGAATTTGAATATGACACTCCAGGAAATGGAGATTCTGATGGATCGTCTGGAGAACATTCTGAAAATGATAATGCAACACTCCGTCCAAGTAAAACTGTGGATAGACCAGGAGTTTCTGAAGGATCAACCAATGCTCCAAAAGCATTAAATCTTGTAAGCGAAATTAATTTTTTAATTAAAATTTTATTTTAACTTTTTGGGTTCTTCGTGTTCGTAATCAACAAAGAGAATTAAATGACATTAAATTTGACTATTCGCCAAGTACTGACACTGTTGATGGGTATTTTAAGAAAAATAAATTTTTAAATAAAATATTTTAAGTATTGCCCATGAACTAGTGACTGCCGAATTGATTGATGGACATGATTTGGTTGTAGTTGCTGCCAATCTCCAAAAACTTATTGATGCAGCTCAAAATAAAGTAGAAAGGAGAACGATTACTTTTGCACTAAATTCTGGTGTTGCGACTAACGAAATCCCGGATGAGCGCTCATTAACAGGATTTGCTCAACTTTCTTTAGTTGAGTAGAGAAGACAAAATATTAAAAATTGACCTTTTCATTCTAAATTTTTTTTGGATTTTTATGTTTAATTTTCAATACATTCTACACTGTTCCTGTTTTGAATTTTAAAGATTTTTCTTTACAAATTAAAGACTTGGAAGATTTTTATGTTAGTCCTTTTAAGGAACATTACAGTTTCAAAATATTACCCCGATTTTATTTTCAAACCGAAAAATTAAAACAAAAACAACCTTCTAATGTAGGGACAAAGTAATGTATTGCATATTTTATATAAAAATTTTTCTGCCATATGCACTTAAAAAATGTTCCTCTGCCGATAGCTTATAAACGTTGGTCGAAATTTTAAATAAATTTTCACAAAAAAATCCTTTGAAACCTTAAAATAATAAAATTTCGACTATCAATCTTCAAATTCGCATTCTTCTCTTATTAAAATATTATTATAAAGAACTTATTTCTTCATACTAATAACTATTCTATAATGCTACATATTTGCTTTTGTCCATTTCTTAAATCTTTCGTTAATTACAAATCTAACTAGTTTTTATATTTGTCTGAAAATAAGATGGTTATTTTTTTGCCTTATAATCATTTATTTATTTCCCCTATTAGTTTTAATATTCTGTTCAAATGTAATTTAACTAAATATTCTATAAAATGACATGTAATCTGTTAATAGAAATGTAACTTTTAAACAAAATTTCACAGCTTTTTAAAGGTATATTCTCCAATTTATTAAAGAATTTAAAAAATAAATTGAATTTAATCCAATCAGGTTAACCACAAAGCTTGTGTTCAAGATATCAAAATAATATTAAAAGATAAAATCAAAATTTGAAATCCTTATATTTTTTTGAAGATGAAGAACCTGATGGAGCACCACTTGATGCTGCCTTTTTCTGCTCTTGAGCTTTTCGCTTTCTCTGAAAATTTTAATTTATTTTTTATTAAAAATGTTTTTTCCAAACATTTTGTCTAGCTGCATGTTCAGCAACCATATCAGAAAAATCTTCTTCGTTTTCCATTCTTATACGATTTTGTTTGCGTAATTGTTCCTCATATTTACGTTCTAAACCACTTTGATCTTCTAATTCCTCAGGTTGTAGAGATACCTCAACTCCTTCATTCGGTTCTGGCATTTTTCGACTCTAAAAAAATTTTTTTTAATTCAAAACAAAAAATAAAAAATTAACCGCCGCAATATCATAAACCATGCTAGGTGCCATTAATTGACCGCTAATACGTTCCACTTTCTTTTCCTGTAAAACAGTATAAAGAGGTTGTGCAGGAGTATCTGCACCAGTAAGTGTACTGCTTCTAAAAAATTTAAATATATTTTCATTAAAAATAATTTAAAATTTAACGTGTCGTCGGCACCGGCTCTTTTCTTTCGCAATTCGATTGTAGATCCCGGTGTTTCTACTCCTGGAATTGTTGTAATACCACTTGGGGTGATAAAACTAAATTTTTTATTATTTAATTAATGTTCTATCAGTATAATTATTACCCTTCTGTTGGTGCAGGTGTCACATAACCTCCCTCAGGTATACCAGCCTTTTGTTGAGTATTATCCTCATCAATATCACTATCTTCCTCTTCGTTATCACTTTCCTCTTCATCACTACCAATTTCTCCCCAATGTCGACGTTCGATTCGAGAATCATCCTCTAATTCAGAAACTTGTGGAAGCTTAAATGACAAAAAATCAGTGAGAGAATTTAAAAAAATAATTTTTTTGTTAGTTGTCCTTTTTTACTTTATAATAAAAAATTTCAATCAAAATTTTTTTAATAACTTAACACAACCAACCAAATTATTAAAGATATTAAAAAAACAAACACTTAATCCAAAAACGTCTCCATAAAGTGGTTTGCCATACTCATCTACAGGCGGTTTTCCCCATCCTCCAGCTTTAAAAATAAAATTTAAAATTAATTTTTAAAAATTAAAAACCATGATATCCAAAAGCGCATCCTTCAGGAATCGGACAATTTAAACCAGGAATTCGTAAATTTGGATAGGAAGGAGGTGGTCCATAACGCTGCATTGCAATTAACCATGGAGGCGGAAATTTATTTGCATTCTGTTCAAAAAATTAAAAATAAATTTTTCCTTATGTTTTATTATAATCTCTAGCCTAAAAATTATATTAAAATTTTCAATGTCCAAAAAAATTACAAAAAAAAATATTAAAAACCATTACCGGTCCAACAGGCATTCCCAATGCAATTCTTAATTCATCAGAAAGTTGTCCAGGTTTCTTTTCTCTCATTTGTGCTTCCAATTCTTTTCCTTCATAATATAATTCACCCATTTTTGTCATTTGTGGTTTTGTTTGCCATTTAAAAAAAGCATCATGTAATTTCTGATAATCAATATCAATTCTTCCCAATTTTGGTCGAGTTTTTTCGCGCATTTTTCCTTTTAAGGATTGATTCTCTTCTTTTTCCCACATTGTTTCACGCATTTCCATTATCCCAGTTCTTTTAATAAAATCAGGTAATTCAAATGGAGGACGTTCAAATCCACGTTTTCCAGCCAAATATTTACGTTTTGCATTCCAATGTCGAGGTACTGGAACTGTATTTCGATAAGCCTTTAATTCAACTAAAATAAATGGATCTTTAGATGTAACATCAGCCCATTCGACAACATCTGCACGGGTTGTACTCTAAATATGAAAAATAATTTGTATATTAAAGGGAATTTTATGATACGATTTGGGAATGTATATATCAAAAAAGAGGGCCAATCAGAAAATAATTTTATAGGATTATAATTAACCTACAGCTTTAAGTTCAGCCATAGAAGGTTGCAATGAAATCCTCAACTTTTTACGACTTAATTTCAAAGCTTCTCCTGATTCTTCAGCTTCTTTCTGTAAAATTTGAAAATTAAATTTTAATTTAAAAATAAACAAACTCGACGCTGTTTAAGCTCTTCTTGAAGAATTTGTTCTGAAACAGCCGCCTTACTAAGAGTATCTTGTACAACATCTAAACGGACTTGTCTGCTTTGTTCTTCTCTTTTTAGTTCATCTTCAGTTTTAATCTAAAGAAAAAAATTAGCAAGCAAATAACAAAAATTTATTAATAAAAATAACCCTAAAAGCATTGAAGACTTTAGCAAAATATTGAAAATTAGGATCTTTATCGTCCAAATCAGGCAATTCATTAATATATTCAATTTGTACATTATCATCAATAATTGAAGCTTTTCCTTTTTCAACAACTTCTTTGCCTACTTCAGGTTCAGTTTTAATCTCATCTTCTAAGGGTGGAATAATTGGTTCAATTTTTTCTTCTCCCTCAATTGGATCTATAAAAAAAGAAATTAAAAAGAATATTTTAAAATCTTTACAAACAAAAAACCTTTAACATTTTGTATTTGTTCAATTTCATCATCTTCCTCTTCTATACTAATAATTTTATTTGGAATTTCTTTTTTATTAGACTTTTTAGATTCTTTCTTCTTTTTGTTTTTACGTCTTCGACGTTCAATCTCCTTAAATTTATTTGGATATAGTTTAGATTAGAATGGTCTGAATCTTCACATAAACTTGGCCCCTATGGTTTTCAATTTTCAATGGTCTGTATCTCGGCCTATGAGCCCGCGGTTAATTAAATTTCTTCAACACAGTAAATATTCCAAAATGTATAAAAATTAAACAAAAATTAAAAAGTTAAAGCCCGGTAAGTTAACAAGTTAAGCTATCGAAGAAATCTTTATAATAAAATAAATAACTAACTTTAAGCTCCCTCGCTGAATGCTGAATTTCCTCATCAGAACTTGACATTTTGTAGAAATATTGTTTTAAAATGAATTATGAACTGATAAAATAAAAAAAATTATAAAAACTCGAAAACGCAAATGCCGAAACCTCGGCCAAAATATCACGTGTTATCGGGTACACTCCCAATTATTCGCAGTCAATAAGTATTCGCAAATTACCTATTAATCCGGATCCGATATTCGAACCGAAAATTTCCGGATATCCGGCCTTTTTTGGATCCGGATCTGCCAACCTTAGTGCACAAGCATCCCACCGATTTCAATAGGATTACTTTGACTTTTGAGCTTGCAATTAAATGGGGGGTGTACCCAAACTGCGTAAGTTCCCAGTAAAGCACAAAGTTACCGTACCAAGAATTCTATAAAAAGGAAATCTGTAACTAAATATTCACCATTTCTTCTACTTGAACGACTACTTCACACCTTTGTGTAAGTTTATTTATTTTTAATTGTTCTGACTATTTGACAGATTTTCTTTTAGCAATGCTGCTTGCTCAGGACTCAACAACAGTTGCGCTCTTCAATACTCTGTTGGTGGCTCTTCTGCTAATATCCGTCACAACATTATCGCTTACGGCACAATGCTGCAAGAAGAAGAAGGATAAAAAGAAGAAGGGAGGAGGAACTCATAAAACTGATCCACCGCCAGAAGGAACACCACCCGCAGAAGACAAGAAGAATGCACCTGGAGAAGGGGATAAAGAAGGGGATAAAAAGAAAAAAGGAGGCTCTTCTGCTAAAAAGGAAAAAGGCAAAGGAGCAGCTGAAAAAGGCAAGGAAGACGGGAAAGCAGCGAAGGCACTTGTAACTGCAATGGGGCCAATGACGCCGCCAGCAACTCCGGCCGGCGATCCATTGAAGACCATGTTCGATGCGCAACAAATGCAGCAACTTCATAATATAGCTCCGGGACTGATTCCTGTGTTTGTTCCAGCAGCGACGCCAGGAGGAAGTCCAACAATCTTCATGATGCCTTCAAAGGACATGCAATCAGTAGCAGCGCTGACGGCACAACCGGCAATGACTGCCCCTGTTGTTGCAAAACCATCTCCAGCAAAAGCTCCACGTAAGGAATTTTGGAAAGTGTAATTTAAAATTTTTATTAATTTTTACAGAAAAGGAGCCATCGTTGTATGAAGCCATTGAGATCTCTAAGAGGAGCATTGGTAAGAAAAATGATGGCAAAGGCAATAACAAAAGTAAAAAGTCGAAGGGAGAAGCGACAAAGCAGGGGATGGCAGGTGTGTTTTTGAGAGATTACACATCTATTCTTCTCTTAATTTTTCTTCTTTTTACAGATCAAGGGTCCTATCAAACATTGGCGGATATAGACGCGAATAAGCTGTTCCAGAAGAAGTGATTGCTTCAATAATAGAATTGATGAACTGAGGTATAGCTGAGAAGAATGAAAATTAAAATTAGTTATCCCAAACATTAAATTGTATTCAATTAACTCTCTCTCTCTTAAATGCTTTCCCTTAAAATCTCTAATAGGGGTAATTAGTTTATCAATAAATATTTGCAATTGTGTTTTGCTCCCCTAATGTTTTTCTATTCATTGTAATTAAGCCTACACTTGTATGTACATAGATTTCTGTATATTTCTGTATAAATTACTTTTGTTTCGTCCTTTAGAAAAAATAAATTGTGTTACTAAATATAATAATTACCCTATATTTAAATATAAAATTTGCTATTTCCAGGTAAATAGAAAAATTTTTTTCAAAAACAAAATAAAATTAAAAAAACAAAAAAAAATTCTTTAAGAATTTATTTAGGTTGTAATTGATTATAAGTATTAGAAGAATTTGGAAATGTTGAAGAAGAAGGTTGTTGTTGCTGTTGTGATTTATTTTTTTGTTGTTTATTTGTTGTTAATGTTTCTAAGGGAGATTGGTTTTGTTGTCCAGTATTTGTTTTATAAAGAATTGTTTGACACCGACAATCTTCGGTTTTTTCAGAGAAGGGCCTTTAAAATAAATTTTATTTAAAATATTTTTTTAATTACCAAAGTCCATGTTCACATTGCCAAAATGCTTGCATTTGTATTGCTGTATCCTCATCTCCTAATTCACATGGATATTCACGTAAACAACGTTCACATCCAATTAATTTACTTTAAAAAAACTTTTTTAATTAAAAAATTATTTTTTCTTTTTTACTGGCAAGGACTAGCTTGTACTCGTATTCTGCCCTGTTCTCTTTGTCGACCACATCTTGGGCATTGTGCCATATCTACGCGAAAATGATCCATTCGGTGAATTGTGTGGAATACTGTACTTGTCTTTAAATTGTTTTTTTGTTTAAAAAGTACTATTGGTAAAGGTTAAGTTTGTATGACAGAGTTTCTCTCATTTTTCCATCTTCCTAGAAAAAGTGTGGAAGAAGTTCAATATGTTAGAGGTTTGAGTAGGCAATTAAGTGTCAAATTTTATTGCTTTCGAATACCGGACCCGAATTCAAACTCGAAGGACGAACAGTTTGGCCGTAAAATTCTAATTTTTAATTCCAAAATTGAAATCGAATTCGGGTTCGGGATTCGAATCAATAAAATTTGAACTTACATATATTCGAATTCAATAATTACACTTAATTACCTATGGCAAACCTTAAAATGATCGAAAAAGCACCATCATTATTTTCCTCATTTCTAGAGGAGATGGAAAAATAGGAAAAACTGTTTGTGAGTCACAAACTTAACTTTTACCAGCAATTTTTGTTAAAAACTTGTTGGTATGCAGTTCTTAATTTCATAGCTAATAAATCAGCAAAAACAGCTTCTGGAAGCATTTGTCGATGTTTCTCTAATTCTAAAAGAGATAAACGTGCAACAACAGGAAGACAAGCTTCTTGTACTGAACGATGAAAGTGATGCTTGAAAGACCTAAAAAATTTAAAAAATTAAAATAATTAAACACATTTCCAAACCAATTTAGCCAACAAAGAGCCATTAATGGAGGTTTACTTTCTACACGCTCTTTAATAAATTTTGTGCAACGCATTTCAAGTCCTCTAGCAGCAAATCTTTTACAAAGACGCATACATGTTTCCAACAAATCATCTAAAATAAATTGTCTAAATTTACAAAAAAATTAATAATAATAAAGATAATTATTAAGTAAATTCATCCGTTAAAGTTTTAGAATTAAAAATCCAATCCTTATTTGGTTTTAGCTAAATAAATTTATATTATTTAACAAATTTGGCAAAAATCGTAAAAGTTTTTCACATTCTGAAAAAACCCGAACTTCGTGTAAAAACCAGGAAAGACATCGAGCCCAGATCAGTTTAAAGGAAACGGATATTGAGCCTCGAATTCTAATTGTTTAAATAAAATAAATTTAAAAAAAATTTAAGGAAAGTTTTTAATTTTTAAAAAATTTTTTAAATTGCTGATTAAATATTAGTATTTAATGGGTTTTTTAAAGAGGTAAAATGTCTTAAAAAAGTTCAACCAGAAATGTCCCTTAGCATTGGAGAGGGTACAGTAGTTTCCAAAAACCATTGAAATTGTAATGCCTGAGGAGGATGCCGAAGTGAAGAAACCTTTTTTGTTAATTAAAAAAATATTTTTTAATTTTTTAAAAAAATTACTTGAATAAGATATTCATCTTCCCTTAAATGCCTTACTCCTTCCATTGGCAAAGCATGACTTTTCAAGAAAAGGGCACGAAAAAAATCACTGGAATGGCTAAGTTGATGTTTACAAACAAGAAAACGAACATCCTTTTTAAAAAATATTTTTTTTTTCAATCTTTTTTCCACAAAATTACTTCAACTAAAATAGCAGCAGAACATCCTTCTAATCGACATTGTGGTTGTAAATAATCTAATGTTTTTGCCCATTGTTGTTGTTGCTTTTTAGCTGGTGATCTAGATCTGCTACCAGAAACTATTTCGGCAGTTTTTTGTCCAAAAACTTTTCTTGGACTAGTTGATCTATTTCTTTGTTGTGCAGCTATTAATTGTAATGCCGATGGAAACTGAAAGAAAATAACCAAAAATTAAAAATATTTATAAACAAAATTGAAAATTTTAGGTTGTAGCTAGTTTCTAATGCGTAATCGGATACGGACGAAACAGGTGTCATTTGACTCAGCTCGACGAGCTGAGTCAAATGAGGTGAGAATAGTATCCCGACAACCACGGACCGAGATACAGGGCTCAAACAAGCATTCTTTCGGGTTGTCACAAATTTGAAAATATTTATTTTTATTTATTACTTGCCTCCTCCTTTTCCCTTTCAATCTTCTCAATAGTCCCACATTCTCCTCCTATTCTGAATGGTGGTAATTGTGAGGAAATTGGACGTTGAGAACTGTCTGTTGCACTCTCTGCATTTGAATAATTGCGCAACCAAGGAGTTGATGATGGAGAACTTGGCCAAAGTGATGGACTTAGTAACTATAAAATAGTAAAGTGAAATTAGATATATGTACTTGTGATATACTCAAAAACTAATAGTTCAAAATCTATTTGAGGATAATTAATCAAATAATGTCGAATCTCAGCTGTATCATCGATCGGGCAGGAAAATTTTGCAATTGGTTGACAAAAGTGGGTGTCAGATTACGTGAGACTAAATCGGAATCATAAAAAAATCTAACATTAATTTGAGCGAGATTCGATTGTACCCCTAAAGGTTTATTTTTTAAAACCTCTTGTGAAGAAGTGCCTGGATCTTCTCCAGTAGAGCATTTTCGTCTTGAAAGACTACTCGGTGAATGTGCCTTGGAAGGAGAATAACAAGTTGGAGATCGCCTTTTGGAGTCAGGTGAAAGTTGCAAAGATTTATTAACATGATTGGGTATTTGGGGTTGCTAGAAATAAACAATGATTCAAACAAAACAGAGAATACTAAATGCTCTTTTTTATCAAACTACTAGAATTTATGTCAGGATAATCAGAAGCTTCAAATAAGAGATTAGTACATTAAAGAAAATAAATAGAAATGAGGGGATAAATTAGGGAGCATTTAGAATCAATTATATCTCAGTCTAAGTAATAGTACTTTTGGTGTATTCATTGCCCAAAGATCACTCCTAGGTTGCCTTCTATTTTTATCAATCGAAGGTTGTTGAATTGGTACATGATTAGGCATTACTGTTGAAGGTCCAGCTAAATAACAACATTCATCTTCTTCACATTCTAAATTAGGAAATTGTTGCTGTTGTTGTTTTTGGTGTTGCTGTTGGCCTTTTTGTGGGGAATTGGACCTCGATTTAGTGATCAATCGACGTAAAAAATTAGCCATACCTCGTAGATTTGGGTAATATTTTTTAGTTATTAACAAGAAGGAAAGAACTTTTTAAGATTATGATTGATGTTGTGAATACCAATCAAAAGAAAATTTGGAGTTTTGCGTGTTTCAAAGCCGTTTTTGTTTGAAAGACAAAAAAGAAAAGGGAAGGAAAACCCAAAAGAAAAAACAAACACAAAACTGAAATTGTTGTTCTGCGTGAAAGACTTTTGCTGATTTTGTTTTGGAAGGGAAAAAGAAAAATAATTGCAATAGAAATATCCTATCAAAAAATCCTCTTTTGTTTTATTTTCTTCCAAAAGTATCAAAACAGTTGGTTAATATATGGGGGGCTTTCTGCTGATCATCAGGTGAAAGTATTGTCTTCCATATTTTCGAGAATTGATTATTTCTTTGTTTTATCTTTTATTGTTCATTATTTCTACCCATTTCCTCTCTATATTTTTACCAATTGTTCTATTAATATACACCAAAAAATGTGAACTCATTAAAAGAGAGAAAAGAAGGAAAAAGAGATTAAATATATTAATTAACCTCAAAGTTACCACGTATTAATTATCGATCTGGCTATCGAAAGTTCAATAGCTCTCCAGTCAAAAAATATTTTTTGATAATTTTTTGAATGTCATAAACTTGAAAAAACCTTTTATATTAACCAAATTTTACATAAAAATTAACAGAGAATTTTAAAATAAACCTATCTATTTATCTCACTGTCCTGAATAACCCATCTTTATATCAATATTCTTCAACGAAACTCAAGTCATCAGATTTCTGACCTAATTTGTTTATAAGAAACCCTCGGGCAATTACTTTGGCCTAAAATTTAATAAGAAAAATTTAAAAATTTCAAAACAAACCTTGTTATCAGCTTTCTTTTTGGAAGGTTCTGACAACGCTTTCTTCAATATAATGAGCGCCTCTTCTTTTTTGTTAGTCATTGCTAGAGCCATACCAAGATATGTCTGGTTGGCGGGATACCCTGGCTAAAAGGAAATTTTAAGTACTTTTCCGCTAAAAGTAAAAATTACTGGCCCTAGATAAAAGCAAACAAATTCTTCGATGCTTTTAGGATTAAGGAAGTGTCAGATTTTATTCATTTAGAATCCTTTCTGTTCCCAGCCCGACACAATTCAAACAAAATTTTGAAACTCGTTCTTAAACCAAACCCGCTTTTTCTGGCACACGTAAAAATGCTTGTGAGGACTAATTCTATTGTTAATACACCTAACATGGTTATTAAATTAGTGTACTTTCTAAATTTTCAGTTATGCCGAATTGTAAAACGAATGAGATCTCCCGCCCTTTTTTCTTACCCGACTTGTTGATAAAACTAGTAAAATTTGTTGAAATAACAGAAAAATAAATTTGAGGAAAATTTCGATAAAAACGAGGTGGAGAAAAGAAGTTACTAACAATTTATAGTAAAAATAACAAACCTTCAAATCCTCGGCAGTTTTCAAATACTTCACCGAAGCCTGATAGTTTCCAGCAAAAAAATATTGAACACCTAAATATATTTATAAAGAATTAATTTTAAATTAAAAATATTTTACCCAAAAAATGATTTGAAAAAGCATCCTTCGGATCCAATTTCACCGCAGTTTCGAGATGATTAATAATTTCTTTGCCGGCTTTCTTTACATGTTTATTGTCCTTGTCAACTTGTTTGAGGAGAATAAGAGCAATGGCATACCACTTATGTACACCTGCTACACCTTTGGAACTTTCCAATTGAAGAGCTTTGTTCAAATGAACAATAGCCTAAAATTTAAAAGAAAATTAAATTAAACAAAAATTAATTTAGAATACTTTCTCTAACAATTCCTTTCGATCTTCAATTGCCTTATAAGCAAGTAAATTCGCTTTTTCGACAAAAGCTCGGCCTAAACGCCAAGAGATTTCACAATTATTAACATTTTCAACTCTAAAAATTTATTAAATCTCAAAAATTTGTAGAATTTAATAACCTTTGTAAAATGTCAACAGCATCCTCAATAATTGCCGAATCCTCAACAAATGAATAAAGACTAAATAACAAATAAACTAATTTATTTACAAAATAACCACCTAAGTTTTTTAACAACATTTTCCAATCTATGAACATTTTCTTGATACCAACCAGGCTTCTTTTTTAATTCAGAATCTGACCAACTTTGATTTCCTTGATTGGAGACAGCAACAACAGCCGCGGTCAATAAACCAATTCCGGCATTTTTCTTAACTCCAAAACCATAAGTAAATCTTGAATAAGAAGAAAAAATATGTCGAAACATCTTTAAAATATCTAAAAAATAAAAATAAATATTTAGTGCACATTAAACAGAAATATTCAAACTTAGAAAAGATGGCGGGTTTGGTCCCTAAAACCATATAGAGAAAAAGGAGGAGTTAAGTAATAAAAACTGGTAACCGGTAATTTCCGGACCCGGATTTGCAACATGAGCCGGGCCAGATCCGGCCGGATTTTTCCTGATTAATCCGGTCGGTTTTAATCCGGTAAAAATGATTTCCGGAGTCCGGACCGTTTCTTTCAGAATTAAAAATTTTTCTGGATTTTTCGAAAAATTTTTTTGCTGACATTTTGCATTAAAATTTTAAAATAATTTCAAGAAGCCACGAAATTGTTTATAATTAAATCATTCAGAAGGGAGATATGGGAAATATCGGGGATATCAGGTAAGGGTACTTATTTACTTTGTATCCGCTGGAAGAAATTAATTAATTTTTTGTAAAAATGGTCAGTGGAAAAGTTTAACAAATTTGCTTGTGGTGACATTCATTCACTCACTTTTCCGTTAATAATCTCACTTTTCATTTGTAACCGTCTTTAAATATAAAAATGAACATCGATTTATTCATTCATTTACAAATAACAAGGGCAAAATGTGTGAGACAGGCAATCGAAAACAAAAAAAAGTGCCTGAATTGAAGGAAAAGTGAGTGAATGAATGTGACCACAAGCAAATTTGTTAAACTTTTCCACTGACCATTTTTACAAAAAATTAATTAATTTCTTCCAGCGGATACAAAGTAAATAAGTACCTCAGGTAAGTTAAAGGGATACAATTTTGAGAATTTTGGAAGGCCGAAGCCAAAAAAAAGAAGTTGCTCTCAAGCGCCACAGGCAAAATCAAAATTTTTTTATTTCAGAATGCCAAGGGTAAAAAATACTTCATTTTTTTAAAAATTCAAGAAAAATGGGAAAATCCCAGAACCGTATCAAATCCCGAATCCGGCGTACAAAATTTGCCGGATCCGGGTTCCGGATTTGCAAGAAGAGCCGGACCGGATCGTGCGGATCGTGCGGATTTTTCCGGATTAATCCGGTCCGGAAAAAATCCGGCCGGATCCAGTCCGGCCCCGGTCACTTTTATAAACAAAATTGCTTCACGAGGATTTCGATATTAAGGGTAAGTTATAAAAATGCCAAAATTGGTCAACTGATTCGTCCCCTTTTTGCCATAACAATGGGCTCATGATTTAGACAATTTATCAATAAATTTTTATTTTTGCAGAGTTATTAAGAAAAAGAATGAGCGAAAAGGTTGAGCCAGAGTCTTCGGCGTCAATCCAAGAAAATAGCAACCTTTTATGTGATGAACAAATAGAACAACGATTATCCTCAGAATTATTTAATGAAAGAATGCCTTCAGTTCTTGAATTTCACAGAAAGTATTTGGTTTGCTTTTATCCCTACATCTTTTAATTAAAAAATAATTTCTAGATCGACCGACAAAGTACTAAATTTCGAACAGAATTGGAGGCTGAAGATGTTAAATTAGTAAATGGTAACCTATTAAATAAAAATATTTTTAAATTATTTTTATAGGATTGGGCCAATTGTCTGCCGATAAATTAATGGATTATGTTAAAGGATTACAAACAAGTGCTGTATCACTTGGGAACGAAGAATGTTAGTTTCTTAAAGAAAATATATAAATAAATTAGTCTTATTTTAGCTTTACAATTCACAAGGGCGAAATTATTAAAAGTTTTTGAGGAATGAATTTTCTAACTATTTCTCTACGATATAATTACTGTAAATCTAAATTGAATACATTGAAAATTAATTTGTATTATTATCTAGCTTACATATCTGATTAATTTCTATAATTTAATCTATTTAATTAAATTTTGTTTTTAGCTAATGCAATTTTTAAATAAAATTTCTCGTCAATTTTCAAATTTGGCTCCATCTTCTATGTATTCTAAATATATTTTATTTAAATTGCTTTAGTTTATTTTAAGCAAAAAGACATGTCTTTATGACCTTCACATTCGAAATGGGGCTAAAATGGTTGAATTTGCGGGGTATTTGATGCCTGGTCAATACAATAATCTTTCTATTATGGACTCTGTTAAATACACTCGCTCAAATATTGGAATATTTGATATTTCTCACATGCTTCAGGTTTTTCATTTGTTTTAAAAAAAATCAGAATATTTTTTAGACTAGCTTGGGAGGAAAGGACAGGTTTCTTTAAAGTTTATTTTTATTTAAATTAATGATAGAGAAGAATTTTTGGAGTGTTTGACACCGGCTGATATTCAAAATATGCGATTAGATGCAGGGGCTTTGAGTGTTTTTACCAATTCTGAGGGAGGAATAATTGATGATCTGGCAAGAATTAAATGAATTAAATAATGAAAAGAACAGTTTTAAGATAATTGTAAGAACTAGTGACGATTTTTTATTTTTGGTTTCAAATGCTGCTAGAAGGGAAGTTGATCTTTTACATATGCAGGTATTTTTAGTTGAAATTAACAATTTTTGCAAAAATTTTGAAAAATTTTCATTTAATAGTTTTTTTAAATTAACTAAAATTTTAAAGTATTTTAAGATAATATTTAAAAGGAAAACATTGACAAGTTCCACAAACATTCAAAGTATGTTCAGTTAAATATTCTCAATGACAGAGCTCTTATTGCTATTCAAGGTATTAAAAGTTTTCAGTACTTCTTAACTAATTTTTAAAAATAGGTCCTCAAATGGTTAATTTATTGCAACCAGAGACAGATATTAAGCTTGATAAGTTATTTTTCATGCACTCGGCAAAAGGAAAAGTTTGTGGAATTGATGATTGTAGAGTAACTAGATGTGGATATACTGGAGAGGATGGTGTTGAGGTTTAAATAGAAATATTTTTTATTTAAAAAAATTTTTTTGAAGATATCAGTTAATCAAAATTATGCAGAATTAATTATAGAAAATTTATTGCATTCAAAGAAAGCACAACCAAAATTAATTGGAATTGCGGCCAGAGATATTTTGAGAGTGGAAGCAGGCCTGTGTCTTTATGGAAATGAATTAAATGAAGAAATAACACCCATTGAAGCTGGAATTAATTTTGTTATTGGTGATTTTTTAAGTTTTAACTTTTAAAAAAATTTCTCTAGCTAAACAAAGACGAGGTTCTCTTGGTTTTCCTGGAGCAGAAAAAATTATTGAACAAATAAATAAAAAGAATTTTACAAAGAAAAGAGTTGGACTTGTAGCAGAAGGAGGGAAAGTACCAAGAGGTATTTTGATAGTAAAAATTGTTTTTAAAAATTTATTTTTAAAAGCTGGAATGTCTGTCATTGACCTTTCAAATAATGAAATTGTGGGTATTGTTACTTCTGGTTGTCCTTCACCTTGTTTAGGAAAGAACATTGCAATGGCGTATTTGAAGAAGGAATGGGCTAAACCGGGAAATATTCTTGGAGTTAGAAGTGGATCAGAAAATAAATTAAACAAAATTACTCAAATAGAGGTTGTTAAGTTGCCTTTTATGAAGACAAAATATTTTATAAATTAAATATTTTATACTTTTTAGATATTATGTGACATTTTTTTCATTCCATTAACTAATTACTGCTTGTATTACTTACATATTATTCTATCCTGCCATAAATTTTTATATTTTCCTTATATTCTGAACTGAATTTTCAATAAATTTATGTTTTTTAAAATATTTAATTATTTAAAAATGAAATTTATTTTTTAAAATTTTAGATTAATAGTAAATAAACAATTTTGAAAAATGAGTAAACCAGAATATCAAGGACCACCAGAAGAATATTACAATGAAAATGAGGCTAGAAAATACACATCAAATAGCAGAATTCAACAGGTTTGGCCAAGTTTTTGTACAGTCGGGTCTCACTTATGTTAAGTGTGCACTTTTGGACTCGAAATTCTCAGGCGGTTACTAAATCCAATTTAAAAAGCGCACTTTTGGATTCAGCTTGATAAGCCCTTTCGAATAAGTTGTTATTCACACTTCAATCTTTCACCCTAAAAATCAGATTCGCCTCCTATGATTTTTCGATTTTCAGGGATCTGAAAATTGGAAAAAATCAAATCAAAATTAGTTGTGTTTTATCTTTTAATATTGGGTTAACGCAAATTTTTTAAAAAATTTTTTAGATACAAGTTGAATTGGCTCAGAGAGCATATGATTTATTAGAACTTCCGAAAGATGGTCATCGATTATTATTAGATATTGGCTGTGGTTCGGGTTTAAGCGGGGAAGTGCTTGAAGAAAACGGACATAATTGGATTGGTGTTGATATTAGTAGGGCAATGTTAGGTTAATTAATTCTTCATTCTTTTAATTTATTAAAATTCTAGATGTTGCTAAAGAAAGACATGAAGACGAAGATAATCAACCCGAAATGAATGATTTTGTTCAATTAGATATGGGTGCTGGGTTGCCTTTTCAGGCTGCAGTATTTGATGGTGCTATAAGTATATCTGCAATACAATGGCTCTGCCATTCTAATTCAAAGAAAGACAATCCACAAAAAAGATTATTAAAATTTTTTGAGTCTCTTTTTGCGTGTCTTTCTCGTTCAGCTAGGGCTGTTTTTCAGTTAGTTTTTTTAATAAAAATATTTTTAGACTTCATTAAATAACCGATAATTTGTTAAATTTTCTTTATTTAATTTTTTCAGATTTTATCCCGAAAGTGATTTACAAACAGAAATAATCTGTCAACAAGCAACACGTGCTGGTTTTCAAGTAATATTTTTTGAAAAGATGTAAAAAACTTTATTTAAAAGGGAGGACTTGTTATTGACAATCCAGAATCACAAAAACAAAGAAAACTTTTTCTTGTATTAAGCGCTGGTGTTAATGCGGCAATTAATACAAAAACACAAATATTTAATAATTCTAAAAAATCTGAAATAAATCAATCACATATTGAGGTTATTGGACGAAAGAGGAAATTTAATGAAAGAAAAATTAATAAAAAGAATTTTAAAAAGAAAAAATAAATTCGAAAGTCTATTTTTTTGTTAAATATTTCTTTGTTAATTTAATTTAAAAAATAAAATTATTTGACTGTTAGTTATTGTCTTTACTGTCCAATTGTCGGTGTCATATTTTATTGGAAGTTTTCTTTAAAATATTTTTTATACCATTCGTTTTAAAATCTTCATAATTTAAAAATAAAAATTTTTGAAAAGAAAATGGATGAAATAAGACCTTTTATTAGTTCTGTGTCACAAACAAATGAAACAATTAATGATGATCGTCCTCCTGTTCTTGAAATACAAGAAAATAATTTTAATGTTTCTGAACAACAAGTAAAATTAAATATATTTTAAATTTAAATTATTTTTTATTTTTAGGGGTCTGATTTGTCATATTTGTTAGGAGGTTTGTTTTTTTTTAATTCTACTTTCAAAATATTTTTAGATAATTATTATATCGAGAATGGAATTATATATCAAAAAGAAACGAATAATTTAATTGATATTAAACAAAAAGATTTGAGGCAATCAAATAATTGTTTAAAACAAATAATTGAAGAGACACCTAATTTTAATTCGAATGTTTGTTGTGGACTTTGTGGTTCTATTCTGACATATGAATTGTTAATAAATGAACATTTGCCGAATATTCATCCAGAAGTTTTAACTAATGGAATTGTTGATCTTGAAGAAATTCCTTATGAAGTTTTAAAAATACTTTTGACTAATTAAAATTTACTTTAATAGGCCTGGCTTAATGAACAACCATTAAATCCCTCTACTCACAATTCTGTCCGTTCTGGTTTTGGAACTAAATTTTCTCCTCAAAAGGTTATTTCAAATTTTCGACATGTACGGTCAACACGCCAATTACGTCGAATTAGCCAATTTCGAGTTAATACCTCAGAAATGTCAATTCCTGAATTGGAATTGGTTTTACAACGAAAGATGGTTGAAAAATTGGGTCGAAAGGTTTTAAACTATTTTTAAATTTTAATAAAAAAAATTATAAGATTCCTGTTACTTTGGTAGATAAATTGCATGCAAAATGTGGAATTTGTGATACTGTTATTTCTTTAAATAAAAAATTTGAAATTGTCCATTTGGTGAGGCATTTTAATGCTTGGCATCCTTCAACTCATAAATGTGCTGGTACTTGGCCAAATAAGGTTTTAATTTATTTACCGATCGAATATTTAATTTATTGAAGTAATTTATTTTGGAGTTTACATTTATTTTTGCAAAAAAACTAATAAATTAACAATTTAAATAAAAATTTTGAAGTAAAAATAATTTTTAAATTAATTTTTTAAAGGAATCAACAGATAATTGTAAACCTTTAAGTTCTCAAGATTTTGCTGTAATTGATACAAACTCTAATTCTATTGACAATCTTCAATGTATTTGGTGTGGAATGTTTCTTTCAAGGTTTAAATTACCTACAAATTTTTTTTCAAATTATTTAAAGCAATGAAATTGGAATGCATTTTCATGAAATTCATCCAGAAGAGGTTGAGGTCCCAAAATGTAATCTTTGTATGCAAGAATTATTGCTTAATGCCCGAATATATGAACGTTTTAGAGAAGATTTTTGTTTGTTTCTTTTAATTAAAAAATAAAGAAATTTCTTTTAAAGGTGTAACAATGCCTGATGAATATACTTTTAGAAGTATTAAATTTAAAAGAGATTTTAAATCTGAACAAAAATTACAAAAAGGTTTTGTTAAATATTTTTTTGTAAATTTTAATTTTTCTTTAGCAATAATTAAATATTTAAAAAGAATTAGTGAAGGATGTAATCCAGAGGTTGTAGATATTGAAGATTTGGATAATTCTGAAATTGAAGAAAATGAAGAGATTGATGAAATAAATAATGAATTACCTTCTTGTGAAGTTTTTGCAAATAGTAAAATGATTTGTGGTTTGTTTAAAATTTTTAACAAATTAGAGGGATATACAGAGGGTATTTAAAAATATTTTAGAAAAATTTTAATTTAATTTAATTTTTTAGGCCGTCGTGCAAAACCTAAACGAAAATTTATAACTCCAATAGTCCGTCAAGCATTCCTAGAAAATAGCTCTTTTGTTTCTCCAATTACACATTCTCATTGGAAATGTCTTTTATGTCATTTAGATATTTATGCTGCAGTTATAAGTGCCGGCGTGATAAAACATTATAAAAAATTCCATCCAATTCAACTTCCACAAATTCAATTAGAACTTTGCAAAGTTTTTTTTTAAATAATTTAAAAAGATAATTTATTTAATTTTTTAAGGCAAGATTGGATAAAATAAGTAATAAAAATATGTTAATTTTTGGAAATGAGAGAGACAAACAAAGAGGTACTTGTTCAATTGAATGCCAAATTTGTACACAAATATTTCCAATGACTCCACCTTTTAATATTTGTAGAGCTATTAGACATATAAAAATGAAACATCCAGAAGTTATGCCCGAACATAATAATGGGGGTGAATGTACAAATAAAGTAAATTTTTTTAATTTAAAAATTTGCCGTTTAAATTTTGAGTTGACAAGGGATTCTGAAAATACTTTATCAAATTATGTCATGTCTATAGAGGTCACTTATAACCAATTTTAGCATAAATATTTACAAAACTAGTTTAATTATATAGTAAATAACATATTCGGTTTCTTGGGATTTTGAGCGGTTATGCTGGGAGTTTTGAAGTTCTTGAAAAAGATTATAGATTAAAGGTTGGTCAACGTCCGATATCAAACTCAAAAAACGTTAAGGAAACCACCAGTGAAACCCAAAAATAAACTATATGGGATGGAAAGAGAAAAAAATTAAATAATTTTGAGAAAATTTAAAGAATTTTTAATCTTTTATTTTTACTTTATAGGATACTACATTTTCGCCTCCAAAATTTGATTATTTACCACAAAAAGAAACTTTAAATAAATTAAATATAGGTAAACATAAACATTTTAATTTATTAAAAAAACAAAATTTATTTTAGAAAATGAAGATGATATAATTTATGCTAAAGAATTAACAGACCTAAAAACATTAGAAATGTTATCTAATAATTATAATATTTTATTTACTAAAGTATAATTTTTTAAATTAAAAATTAACTTTATTTTTAAAATTTTTAAGGCTTTCTCAATTTCTAATAAAAATATAAAACAAAAAATATTTATTTTAACACAAAACAATGAAGAAATAAATGCTTTAGATGTTGAAGAAGTTATTAGAGTACGTGACCCTTTGTTGGATCCAATGGTGGTTATTCTAAATAAAGTAAAGAATTTAATAAAAATATAAAAAAAATATATTTTATAATTTTTGCAGGATAATAAAACAAAAAGAAAATGTTAAATTTGTTAGAGCAGAAATAATTGTCGATTTATTTTTTAATTTTATTTTATGTAAATAATATTTTGTATGTATAATTTTTTATAAAAAATATTTAGCATTTATTCATTATTTTGTCTATAATTATTTTCAAATGGTTCAGGGAAAGGAGGAAATCCATTACGAATATGTTCAGGGAAAAAATCTGTTGGATGAAAATTCTTTTGTTGATTATTAGAAAATATTAAAGGAGGGGATTTTGGTGGTTGAGGAGGAGGAGGTGGAGGGGGAGGAGGGCCTCTTCGATTATTTTGTTGTTCATTTGAAGAATATTTATTTTGTCGATTTTCTTCTCTGCTATTTGATGAGGAAGAAGTAGGAGCTACAAGTTTTTGTCTATTATTAGTGTGTTTAGGTGTCCAACGTTCGTGACTTTCAGAATTTGGATATTTAATATTTTCGTTTGATTCTGTTGAATATTGTTGTATTTTATGTTGTTGTTTATTCTACAAAATATTAGAAATTATATTTAAAACTATAAATTTTATCTAGAATTAAAAAATCTTTTATTTTCCCCATCCGTTTAATTCAAAACAATTCAATATATTTTTGTTTTTTCAAACCTGAAAGTTTAATTTTTGTTGATTTTTTGACAATTCTTGTGATTCTCTCTCGTTTTCCATTCTTCGGCCTTGTATTATTTCGTTACTTTTTAAATTAAATATTTGTTTATTTCCGAATTCTTTTCTTTCATTTTTATTTTCTTCTGAACTTTTTAATTGATGAAAGGATGAGGAAGAAGGAGGAGGGATTCTATTTAATTGTTTTTGATTATTTTCTGCATTTTCTTCCTTTTTTTCTTCATTTTTCCATTGCCATTTTTTAAAAAGTTTTTCTTCCTTTGATTGTTGTTCTCGTTCTTCATTTTCTTTTTCATTTGTTTTATTATTATTTCCAATTAAAATTCCTTTTTTTAAAAATTCTTCTGGTTTTGGAAATGTTTCGTTTATTTTTTCTTCTTCACTAATTTGTGGAAGAGAATGATGGTGACGATAATGTTTTTGTTGATGTTGGGGTATTGGTAGTGGTTGTGATGGACGTCCAAATTGAGGGCCAGGAAGGGATTGTTGAGTTAAAAATGGAGTAAATGGACTGAAGAAAGGAATTGAACGTTGTTGAGGGAGGGAAGAGGAGAAGGGGGAGGGATGGTTAACTTTAAAAATATTTTTAAAAATAATTTATTAAAGAATTACTACCTTTTAGAGATTGATTTTGGCATTTAACAAAAAATAAGAATAAAAAAGAATAAAATAATTTAATAATCATTTTTTAAATAAAAATAAATAAATTGGAGCGGAGAAGAGAATTTTTGTTTCTTTATATTTGCAATTATTTAATAAATAAACCAATAAAAATTATTTTATTAGAAAATATTTGTGGGAAAATACTTTCCGGATTTAATAATTTTTAGATTTAAAAATATGTAGAATTAAAAAATAAAGACTTAAAAAATTATTTTTATTTAGAAATTTTGTTAGAAAAGTTTTTTATCTAAAATTAATAAAAATAATTTTAAAAATTAATTTAATTTAAAATTTATTTTTTCCTTCTTTTCTGTATTTTTGCCAATTTTTCAGCTTCACACTGTAATTTATATTCAATTTTATACCCAATTTTCATTTGTTCTACACAAAATTCTCCAAGAATTAAAATAGCTTCAATTAAATCTTCTGAGGTATTTTTATTGCCATTTTCTCTTTTTAATGTTAAAATGTCAATTAATGATTGAATAAAACACTTGAAAAATTAAAAAATAATTATTATTAACCTCTCCACCCTTCCCTCATTTTAAAATTAAAAATTACCTTCCAATAAGAACATTTATAAGTAACACCTATTTATTTAAATACTTTTATTTATTTTTTTCTTTTTAAAATTACCAGTATAATTAACATGTCTACCCCCAAGTTGTTGTAAATGTTTAGATAATTTAGTTGCATTCCCAGGATGTGTCATTATATTAATTAATGTTGATTCAAATGTTTTAACATGACAAATAAAAACATTATTTTCTCTAATTAAATATTCATCAAAATGATTACTACAAAATTCATTTAAAGAAAAATAATCCAAATTTCGAGAATCTAATTGAAATATTCTCAACAATAATTTTACAGCAATTTCATTTTCATCCTCCCCAACAGATTTTAATAAATTTTTCCAAGCTCTTTTAATTAATCCAATTTGGTGGGGATTTAAATCTCCGTTAATTGCAAACATTGGCTCGGTATTTTGACGTAAACAATTATTTGTATTATTTAAAGAATTTATTGAATTAATAAAAGAATTGGTATTTGTTGTGTTTGTATTGCTACTTGAACTTCTTGAACTTGAAGGGGAATGGGCGGCACTTTTTTAATTAAAAAGAAATAAAAAGTTGAGAATAAAGTTTAATTTAAAAATATTTGTTTAATTAATAATTTTAATATTAAAAATAATTAACAATTAAATAAAAAACCTATTAATTAATTTCTATACCTATATTCCAAACTATGACTTCTTTGACTATTTTGACTTTGATGGCTATATCGACTTTAAAATAAAAATTTTTTTTTTATTTTTTAAATATTTAAATACTAATTTTGATTAATTCTTTGGTTATTATTTCCATTTTTAATTGTAATTCTGGAAGTAGATGATGGAGATTTAGAGCCAAAAGATTCCTCCCGGCGAGGGAAACGGCGTTGAGGTTCTTCTATTATACCCCCAGGGGTCGTATTTCCCATTTGTAAATTTTTAAAATATTTTTAAGAATTTCTAAATAGAAAAAAATCTTTAAAAAATAGAAAAGAAAAAAATACTTTTTAATTAATTAAAAATTAAAATGTATTTTTAATTTCAATAATTAGTAAAAATACTATATCTATCTATGAACATATGTAGCCTAGGTAATAGTGTGGTTTACCCCCCCCCCTCTATTTTTTCCTTCTAGAGCTCTTCGATCTGAGTTAACAAAATCTGGCTTAAAATTATCATCAATTGTTTTAATCCATCGCAACACACAAAAAAATTTTCCAGCGAAAATTCATCGTCATAATTTTTTTCAGAATCATCAAATCTCAAAAATATTAATATCATTCAACTTGAGTTCTTTCGAAAAACTATTACCGAATTATTACCGTAGTTTATTTGATAAAAAAATAATTTTTTTAATTTAAAAAACTTTAAAAGTTTTATTTTGTAGATTTGACTTAAAACAAATATTTTTTGGATATTTTACTTTACAAAATTTCGTGCCGTTTTTCTATTCCCCCGAGGGGGAAGAAGAATTTCATTTTTAAAAAAACTAAATAAAAAGAAAAATGAACGGATATTTGGTTTTTAGCTTTCTTTACTCGACTTCTTGGAACGCGTCACTTCCCTTTTGGGAATATTTTAAAGGAAATACTTACAAGAGATTGATTTGCTTTTTTTGTTTTTGTTTAAAACAAGGAATATTTAGATAAATATTTAAATGTACTACTTAAATACAACAATTCCTTATATTAATTAATTTAAAAAATAATTTTTGTAGACTAATAAATTAGAAAACTTTTAAATATTTTTAGAACAATTTTTATTTCATAATTTTATAAAATAAAATAAATAAATTTTATTTAAAGCAAAATTATAAAAAGACAAAAATTGGTAAGAAAAAAACAAAAATTAGGCGCTTTTTGGTAAGCAGAAAATTGAAAACATAATAAAATTGAGCGGAATATTTTTAAATATTCGAGGATTATTTAAATAAATTAAAAGAGAAAATCTAAATTTTGTCTCAATTTAATTTTCGTTTCATATCAACAAAAATTGCTTAACGCCAATTCAACCCAGTTCTTTTTAGTAAACCTTTTGGATTCAATTGTTTAATTATTAAAACTTAAATTAAAATGGTGTTACAAAGGAAAGTTTAATATAAGTTTTACAAAGGAAACTTTCGTAGAAATTGGAATCCAGTTAGTTTTTGGCGCTATATTTTCGTTCTTATCATGGACAAGGAAATTAATTTAACGCTAAGTTCTTGTGGCTATCACCCCAAAAGGTTTAGGCTTTAGGTTTTGGCATGAAACTTTGTTTGGATGAGGAAGTGGTGGAATATATTTAAAAGATTAATTGTATTTAAATAAAAAGCAATCCTCAAATACATTAATTAAATACAAAAAAAAGTCAATTATAAGAAATTATTTATAATAATAAGTTAATTGTGCTAAAAAGTATAAAAACTAAAAGTCAATATATTTAATTATTTAAAACTTTAATTTTAAATTTACAAATTGTCAAGTTCAATCCAAAAATATAAATATAGTCAGTAAACACTTTAAAATTATTTTTCTCCAAAAAATATTTCTCATCTTTTTTTTCTTTTGGAATCATAACGAGAAAACATGACACCCCAAATACATAAATTATTTTTTTTAAATAATGTGTCAATTTAAAATTAAAGTTTTTTTACAATTAGAATTACAAATTAAATAGGTACTATATATAAATAATTAATTAATATAAAATACTCTAACCCGTAATTAAAATATGAGAAACTTTTTCTTTTTTTTAAATTTAAAATCGATGTTGACAATATAAATTATCTTCATTAATTTCTTCATAAATATCAGAATTTCTATTTGTAATTGTTGTTGGGTCAGTAACATAACGAGGAGGAGGAGGTGTGGATATTTCTTCTTCTCCAAGATATTTTTCTTTTCTTTTTCTTTTTTGATTTTTTGAAGAAGAAATAATTGAAAGATTTATTAAATTTGTGGATGTTTTGTTGTTTTTATTTTTTCTTTTAAAAAATTGGAAAGGTAGAAAACGAAAAATAATAAAACAAAATAAAGATAAAAAGGCTAATAATAAAGCTATTAAAGCTAATAATAAACAAATTATATTTAATAATGATGAATTTTGTTGTTGTTGTTGTTTAGATGAAGATAGTAAACATTTAATACAATCACTAAATTTAAAAATTAATTTTTTGTAGAAAGATATTTTGGTACTATCCGATTATCTCCACCTTTTTCCTTTCCTTTCTTTTTTTTTTTATTTAAAAATGATAAAAGTCAAATAATGGTCAAGGAACATGTGCGTGTATATAAATAACTCTGAGTCCCCATTTCCATAATATTTGATGAGAATTCATTTATTTCAAATAGAAGACATAAGTTGGCAATTGTACTAATTGAAAAAGCTGGAGATTCGATGCAGAATTTTACTTTTACTGCATTTTTTAAGCTTGGAATGAGTATGAAAAAAATGGGAGTAGGGGGGGGGATAATCGTGTAGTACTGATATTTTTGTTTTAAAATACCTGTTATTATTTCCCCCTCCTTCTTCTTCTCCAATTTGTTTAATTCTTTTAATTTTATTTTGACAAATTTCCCCTTCCCATTCTTCTTTACAATAACATTTAAATGAATTAATTAAATTTAAGCAATTTCCACCATTTAAACAAGGATTTATTAAACAATTATTTATTTTATTTTCACAATTAATTCCAGACCAGCCAATTGGACATAAACAAACATAGCCGTTTTTGTTAAAATTATCTGTTACACAATTACCTCCTTAAATTTAAATTAGAAAAATTAAAAATTTAAATTTCTTTCAAACCATTTTGACAAGGATTTTCACTACAATACCCCCAGGGCAATTCACAAAGAGGGCCAGTCCATCCATCAGGACATAAACATTTAAATGAATTGTTTTGGGGAGTTGAAGAAGAATTTAAGTAGTAGTCAATACAAGAACCCCCATTTTGGCAAGGTAAATCTCTACAACCATTTGGGGCTTTAATTTCACAAAAACGTCCAAAAAGGCCAAGTGAAGGGGGACATAAACAACGAAATCCTGGTGGAGAAAATAACTGAAAAAATTAATTTAAAATTATTTAATATTTATATTCTCTCTAAAAATCGGAATATTTTATGTCACAAATTCAAATATTTAATCAAATTTTATTTGATCAGATAGTTAGTCCAATCTCTACATAATCCCCCTCCTTTTTTCTAAAAACAAACATTAATGCATTTAGCTCCATTATAACAAGGTTCATCTTCACAATTATTCAAAACCTTTTCACAATTAATTCCTCCATAACCAGGCCTACATTTACACGTATAATTCCCTTCTGCATTATTTTGACAAATTCCTCCATTTTGACAGGGAGAATTTTTTGAACAAAAAATTAAATCTTTTTCACAAAACTGCCCTCCTTTCCCTTCCGGACAAGAACATTCCCCCGGCCTTTGACGGCAAAATCCTTTACATTTTGAATTTGGAATACACTAAAT